GCTGAGGTGAAATCAGCTGTCTCAATTCCATATCAAAGTCTACAGACATTTTCTTTTCTTTCTTTCTGATGTCTTCTTACCTCACCCTCCATAACAGTGCGCGTTTGTGTGTTTGTCTGGTGGGAAGTTGTCAAATTACGTTTGCGCAAGGCTTCAAAATTCCATTCCTGGACCTCTGATTGGCTGCGCTGCTGGACTGAGAGATTTATGGCCCTTTCGCTGATTTTGTATGAATGCATTCTGTAAATGTGTGACCTGTTCCCAAAATACTCCAAACCCTACCTGACTCTCCCCCTTGTCTGAGCAGTGTAAATCAGCGTGAGGGAGAGAGGGTGGGTCAAAGTTCACTGCGGGAAGAATTTAGTACTACATTTTCAGATGTATGATTCACTAACATAATAAAAAGGTGCTGGATACAACCTGCACCCGTATCTCCATTGCAAACACCCAATTTATTGTTTAAGCTTTCAGTCAAACACTTGACATACCAAACACACACAGAATAATACACGATGGGGGAAGAGATAGTCTTCATTTACACACCAGCTGTGATAGAAAAACAAACTGTTACAAAAATTACACAGTATTTTAGGAAGATATGTTTTCCCTTTTAGATGTCACTCAACTTTTTTTACATATTTTTTTTAAGGTTTACCCAAAAAAATACTCAAATTAAAAAAAAAATAGAACCCACTGAAACATAACATAGAAGTATGGGTGGGCTATGTTATCCATAATTTATATCCCACTATCAGCTGTTTATAATGACATAACCGGAAATTAATGTCTTTATTTCGCTAACCGGCAAATAAAATATCTGATAAATCAAGTTTTTCCCCAATGGGCAAAAAATACCTGTCTGTTAAAAGACAGTATAAAGACAATAGCAAAATCAGTGACAGATGACAGATTTATATCATGTCAGAATATATCCTATTGTCAACCCCTAAATAGAAATAAACCTTTGTCACTGCCCAAATTTAAGGTAAAACAAGTACACTTACACAAAAGCAGTGAGACGAAGCAGAATGACCTAAAACATAATAAATAACGGGATAATGTTTTGTCAACCTAGGAAATTACCACAGAATGAGCAACAGACCATTAGTACATATTATGGCATAGCTTTCAAGTCAAAGTCATCAGTATGCCCCCTAAGGTTATTAAGAGTCCAACTTGTTGATCCTGATGTTCCTTTTTCCAGTATGCCCCCCCCTTAGATTCCCATTACTGAAATGCTTCTTCCATTCAGTCAGTACAGATAAATCTTGCACTTTAGGCAAACAATAACAAACAAAGTCACAAATTGGGGCTGTAAAGCAGAGGAATGTGCAATCCTCCCTAATTGTGTGGAATCACCGTCTTTGCTTAGATGAAATTCAGGCAAATAACAGATTGAAATATGAGCAAGCAAGTGTGTTTACAGGCTGTCTCCCAATCCACACTCCAGAGGAAGCTGTATTTTTACAACGCTGGGTCTTTTGACATGATCTCTTTGGTATCCTAAATAGCGACCCCAGACTTCACAGGTTGGTGAACGATGACACAATGTCACGTCATTAGATTCATGGGTGTTGAAGTTCAAACATTTAAAACGGCTGACCCTGTGTCCTGTTTGGAGCTACAAGCTTTTAAAGTGCAGCCGCAACCAAAATGGCAACAATCTGGATTAAAAAGAAATAAATAACAAATCACAAATATTTAGGCACTTGTTGCTACTAACAACACAACAAGAATCTCTCATCGTGGCAACCACTGCACTGACTCACTCGTATCCCAAAATGGTATAACTTTTCCAGTCCAAAGTGATTGGCTCGATTTTTTTTTTTTCTGTTTGGCTAGAACGTGTGGATGACGATGATGGTGTTGGCAGCAGTTCCACTGTATGACCTAGTTCATCAAACTAGTCATATAGGTGTGTGACTCTTCCATGGGTGTGGGAGGAATTTGGTGGAATTAGAGGGATAGAGGAAAAGACAAAACTGAAAAGATGCAGAAGAATTGGGTGGAAGGAAGAGAAGAGCAGAAGGTAATGGAGGCGATGAATAAAAAGAGCACTTCAAAAACGAGAAAGGCAGCAAGAAGTGGGTGCCCTTAAATCCTGAAAGCCTGTAACCGATGGATTAGCCGTACACGAGAGCCAAAACTGCTCAGTGTTCTGGGAAAACACCCGCAGGCCTCAAACATATGGGTGACAGTGGTTGAAAACACATGTGAATCATCCACCTTTTTTAGTTTGGCAAGATGTATTCAGAGTTCAGTCTCTTTCCACTTAACAGATGGACCATTGGGATCAAGTAAATACCTTTTTAGTGCCAGTTGAAAACCAAGGGAAGTGTTGAGGGAAGGGGCAGGCTATTAAGTAGCTATTGCTCAGATTGGAACTCCCCAGTTGAGCCAATCGAAAGGGTTCAAGCCAGAGTGCAGTTTTCTACTTAGCCCTTTTAATTTTTGTCGAATCCATTTAACGTTCTTTGGGCACCGGACAGTGGAGTAGAAAAAGCACTCTCGACAGGGTGGTGTCGCTCGCTGAAAGTGAAAGTTGTGGCTTTGAATTTACGCTTCTGTCAACACTTCTGTAACATTGGCCCACACTGTTACGGCAGGGCTATTTTCTTGGCATACAGGAAGGAGATGAACTCACACAACTTCGCCTTCTCACTTCCCTCTTTTGCCAGCTGCGATGATGTTTGTCCACCCGCAGCTCTCTGATAAGGGCAGTATGTTCAGCCAAGACCAGATGCTTTCCCTATTTGGCTACAACCTTTCTCTTATTTGAGGAGGAGTTTCGGTGGTTTGTAGTGGAATTCTTCCTCTTTGAGTTTTGGCCGAAAACACCTTCTTCCCCATAATATCTTTGTCATTACCATGCCTCATGACTTTACAAGGACTCCAGGTGAGGTTGGTGTTTTGGGGTCACACTGAGGTGACGTGATGAGGTTAAAGCTTTATTTTGGAGGTGAAACCTAGAATGACTGAGCTTTTCCCTCCTCTACTCCTTCCTGTGTCTGGGCTTATCATAGTAATCACTGAACGCCATCACTCCCCTGCAAATGGAAGCCAAAAAGACTGATTAGATTTTGGCCCAGTTGTTTCCAGACGATCATGATTTATGACGTGGCATTATCTCTGAGCTGTGTAGTCAAGTTATTAGCTCAATTCCAATCGTAGTGGAGGTCTTACGCATTGCAATTTAAAGTGCTGCTAAAATGGAATAGTTGTGCATTGGTTTGTTCGCCTCATTGGGAAGACTTTGTCACCACTGTTCTTTTTTTAATATGAGCCTCTCGTGTTCTGGCAGCCCAGCTTTGGTAAAAAATGATGACTGTAGTCAATGCTCTGTCATCCCTCCTAATTCAAACAGACACAACAGGGCATTGGAACAGAACGGATGTTTCCCCTTTGTATGGGAAGTCTCCGTGGGAGCAATTATGTATGAGACACTTTGCCTGTTATGAAATATTGATTTAGTTTTATTCTGTAATTTTGAACAATCCACTTTCTTATACCCTTCCATGTCCTGTAAGAAGAACATTTTTTAAAAATGGATACTAGAGCCTGTCATCTCTAAGCCCTATATCTCACTAGACCTACAGTTTAACATCAGACTTGATATTGTACAGATGTCAGCACTGATGCACTGTACTGGACTACATATAAGTCCACTAGTGTTGTTGATTCCCCTTAACTCTAGGATGAGTGATACTTGAAGGGTGAGTTGTCCATACAGTGGAACAGTGCAGCATGAAGACACAGAGCTCAGCCCAGCTCCAGATCCCTTTGGCATGAAAGGAATCCTCTGTTGGCGCTGGACGCTCACTCCTTCCCCCCCTTGTGAGAGACCATCGTTTTACTGGTCTGCCCTCAGCAGACATTGCAGCCTTTCATCTCTCAGAGGAAGGGCAGCTGCTCCTGGGCTCCTCTTGGTTTGGTGGGAGTGTAAAGGCAAAGCAAGAAATGGATATTAAGTGGCATGTGATGGTGTTGAGATGTGTAGATTCATGTTTTTTGAACATGATAGTTGATTTGACATTGATCGAGTGATCGCTTTTCAAGCAACAATGTGGTTCTAGCTCCTCAAATGTGAGGTTTGTAAGGGATCTGTATCAAGATTGCTAATATATTAGCTTGACTATCAGCCGATTTATCATTTTCATATTTTTTGAACTCCCAAATATCAATATCAGCATCAAAAAATCCTGTATTGGTCGGGCTGTAGGTAGTTGCAACCCTCGATGATTTGATAATCAAATAAATGCTAACCAAGGGGACCTACTTCAAGGCATTCCCTCTGTATGATGAAACCCTGATGGCAAACCAAAACAATGCAGCGTTGCATGGTTTCTGAGCTCTTCAGTAAGTTATTTTTGTCATTTGGAGCCAGCGGTGTGCAGGGTTTCCTAATGCATCTTTAAAGTAATTAGTTTTTTAATTAATCGAACATTGCTGCAATTTCAGTAGGAAAACAGTCTTGGTCTCCAGGAGCATAAATAATGCATCACAATTTGGCCCTTGCATTCTGCAAAAGGAAGATGAAAGAGACATTTCTCATTGCTAATAGAAATCTATGAGAATGTGGTTTAAATACACAATAGACTTCATTTTATTCTGCTGAAATATGAATGCAGTGTTCCTTCAGTCACATTTCATACCATCACTTTCAATTCTAACGCATCACTCTCCATCTTATATTTTTGTGTATTCATTGTACAATTCATTTTTGAAGTCAGAAATGTTCAGACACACATGCTTTGGTCATTATTCTGTTCAGGACCCGGTCTCTACCGCAATCGATTTTATTAGTGTGCATTGAATGTTGTAAAAAGATTATGACCTCCAGTGATGAAAAAGCACAGACTCATGATTTAATTAAGCATCCTTAAGCTGCTGTATGACGAGTTCATTCAATCCCAGAGGTCCCTGTTGTACTGCGCCTTTTCTGTGTTTTCGCTTTGGCATCGCTCACATCCCCTCTTCTGTCCTCACTGTGTCATTTACAGACGGTGGACATTCACAAAGAGAAGGTGGCCAGGCGGGAGATCGGGATCCTGACCACCAACAAGAACACATCGAGGACCCATAAGATCATAGCACCAGCTAATATGGAGCGACCGGTCAGGTACATCAGGAAGCCCATTGACTACACTGTACTGGACGACGTCGGCCATGGTGTTAAGGTGAGCGGACTTTCTCCTTCCTGATTTTTATGTACTTTTTCTCTGCTTTAGATCTGCTCCCCGATCAGATTTCTCTACACTCAGTCCATTAGTTTATCTCTGCTTCTGTTCTTCCACTTTCTTGTCCTACTATATCTAATTTTCTTCCCTTCCCCCTCCCTTCTTTCTTGCCAGAGGTATTCCTATCCCTTCTCTTCTCTCTCCCACTTTGACTCGTTTTCTCGCTCACACTCTCTCTCCTGTGCGTTCTCTTTCATCTTCAGAAAGCACCCCTTCTGACCCTACAGGAATATGTTTCAGTGTGGGTTGGTGGGAACGGGTTGGGGGTGGAGATGAACTAAAAAAGTGATTACATCATATAGCTTTCAGAAAACAGCTCTATTCTTAGAGCGTTGTGAAAATGGTGAGCAGAGACAATTTTGTGAGACGTTTTTAAAGGCACTTAGGTCCAGACCGCCCTCGTAATCGCGTTCTCCAGTTTCTCTAAGCCTTCGCACAGGAATGATGTTGTTACAATCTGATTTGTACTTTATTTTCACATCAGTACAATCAGAAAGGTTGGAAAGAGGCTGTTTTTGCTCCGATAAACTCTCCCAAGTAGAAACTGATGATCAAAGTGTGACATTTTCACTCCCTCTCTGCCATTAGAGCTTTAGGGGTTACTGGGTCGCCCTGACCGTGGTGGTACTGACATCATTTCCTGACGGCCGCAGGCATTTTTGCGATCTCCATCCCCCCCCTTTGAGCGTCCGCTTGTCCCATCAATCAGCCAATCAATTGCAGCTTTCAGAGAGATTGGATTAGGGGCCCGCCATTACCGTCCCGTGTTGTCACTCTCAATTTACCGTATAGAGAATTACATGGGACCTTTCCGTCAGGGTGGAAGAGTGCGATGTCTAATGGGAAGCGAAGCATTTTATTTGGTCGTTTCTCACGACAGCTACCAGATTTTATGAACATTATGCACTTAAAAGTGTTCTTAAAAAGTGTTATTATTTAAGTTATTATTAAAGACACATTTTTGGAAATTTGCTTATTCATTCTCTTTCCGAGCATGAGATGAGGAAAAAACAAAACCACTCTCATGTCTGTATGCTAAATGTGAAGCTAGAGATGGGAGACTGTTGGCTTTGCTGAGCATAAAGATAGATAGTATTTCTGTATAACAATTTAGCATTCATATTTGTAGCTTAATTTTTAATATCCATAAACCTATAATAATAATGTTGCGTTTAACATTGAAAATAATTAAACATGAACACTTTAATTTGATAGTTAGATGCCTGAAAGTGGGAACATTGTTAATCAACAGATTATATTACTAATTGCATTTAGCAATTATTCTACTTTTTATTAAATTACATGATCTTCATCAGCAGATAGTGTCTACCCAGTAGATTTTATTTTATTTTTACTTATTAAAAAAAAAAAAAAAGCAATTTCATAACATTAGGGCAAACTCTATGTGCTGATGAAGATCATCTGATGTGATCAAAAGTTACAGAACAGCTGCTAAATGGTATTTGAGGTGAGTTTTTTTTGTTAACTGCTATTTCTAAGGTCAAGAATCCATATACTGTTTTAATAATGTTCATACTTTTTAAACTTAACTACATTTTATATAATCACAGGGCAAAAATCAGGCAAAATCACCATGAGGTTTCTGTGAATCATCCACAGTTCTGACTCTGCTGTGTTAGATTAAGTAGACGAGTTGCTCAGAATTAGGATACCACTACATCATCGCACAATAGTGTCAAATTACTGAAACCATCGTGCTTCATGGCTGCTTCGAGAGTGTTTGATGCATCTATTTTAGGAACATTACGTATTACTCTGGGTCTAATCTCAGTGGATTTTCTCCTTTAAATGTCTTTATGCTGCATTTAGTTAGTGAATATGATCGGGAACACACACACACACACCGGCAGCAGTCCTACATCACTCACCTCCTCTCATCTATGCATGTCACAGCCCAACGAGCCAATCAATACTCCATATTCATTCATATAGTATCCTGTGATGGCTGCTGTCAGATGCCAGGCTTGTATAGAATATCTATAGCCATGGTTTACTTACTGACCAGAATCAATACTTTAATGGGAGTTTAAATCCTGCCTATTGCCTCCAGTTAACTGTGAAACTCGCTACATCTGTGAATGTTTGCACTGGCCTAAATATTGAATTGGTTTTACGGCCTCAAACAGTGTTTGTATAATTAAACACCAAAGCACGAGCTGTAATAGAGAGAAGAAACGGCATGTAGCTCTTACATACTTTATTGTTTAGAAGCTTTTCAAAAATCCAAAGCAGACAAAAAGAAAAAGAGGAGTGGAAAGAAAAAGAAAAGAGAAGGTGAGATTAATCTAGTAGATACTCTAATTCTTCTCTGAACACAGCAGCATAATATACTGTAAATAATAAGTGAAATCTCCCAACTGACAGATCGGGATGTTCCTGCATCTCAAGGTGTACCGACAGACTGACATGATGCTTTTTAGCTTTAATATAAAAAGATGAGATTTACTCTTCCAGTCAGCTGATGTTTAATCTAGTCAGCGGGATTTCAGGAATCCAGGGATGATTATGTCAGATTTTTTAAGTTAGATTGCAATCCTTTGATATGTTAATATTGTTAGAGTTATGAGTTCACAAGATTAGCTTAAAGGGATAGTTCAAGGTTCAAGGTCAAGGAGTTATAACCCTTAGGATTTCAGGCCTGGTTGATTTGGAAACATAGAATAAAATCTATCTGTACCATATTGCATTATATAGCATCACATTCTTGCGTTAAATTGGATTATGCTGAATCAAATCGTGTCGAATCGCACCGTATTGCCGGTTGCCTCATATGTTTCTTTAATGTGTCAGATAGTTGGCAACGTTTGGCCCTAGTTTGGACTAGATATGCGTCCTTGGTGACTACCCTAACCTCAGGAAGCACTTGTGTCCTTTATACTGAACATTTACCCAACAGACTCACCTAACTCTGACAGCATTGCTCTAGATTTTCACCCAGGTGCGACATGCTAAGCCTTTTTGGACTATAATGACCTTAATCTGAACCTGACTGTCCATAATTCAACTTAGATGTTACTAAAGCATTTCCACACTGACAGTCTGGTTTGTGCTGAAAAACAGATACAGAATGTGTCAGGAAGATAAGGGAAGGCAGTAATAGGCCTCTCTAGCATGACCTAGATTGTAAATTGAATCTTGTCTAGTTCTGATAACCCAGGGAGAGTGAAATTTGAACGTGAAATTTACCATTCACAGCGGCACTGAAGGCGTTTACGGTTTTTAAAGAGGCAGAGATCACTTCATACTGACCTATGCCACGAATTTGCCATTTGTTTCATTTTCTCTTTCTCTCGTGGTCTTGTGTGATGCTACAATGCTTTCTGCAAAGGCCACTGGGGAAGCTGCATTATAGATGAGCCACTTGACTCTGCAGTTGTCAAACCCTACTGTTATGTTGGCTCTATATTCTCTTTGACACCAGCCCACACAAGTACTAAGGTGGTGTTTTATCACTGCCAGTAACGTGATCATTTGAAATTATTTTGAGTACGAAACTGCAAAACAGGAATTGGGTGAACACATAGGTACTCAGTAGATGTAAAATACATATTTGTGGGGCAGCTTTTTGATGTACAAAGGTAAATGCTTCAGTCTCAGACACCCTGTTAAGATAAGATTTCTTTCACTTGGGCACAATAGCTCTACCATCAGATCCCTGCAGTTTCCTTCCAGTCTGACTGTGGTACTGGGTGTGGCACCGTGGGTCTAAGTAAAGAGAGCAACAGTCACAAGCCACAGTGCTTTCCTCTGGTTGTATGACTTGTAACTACTGACCTGCCAAGGTCTTGCTAAATGTTTATGCAGTGTAAATACAACGAGGAGTCATTTTTCTCCTGCCAGCGTGTACTTTGACTTCTACTGATCCGTTTAGACATGGCCATTTTGACATGCCCTCTTTCTGTCTCTCTCTTCTGTTTTTTTCTCCCTTCGCCCACATAAGTGGCTAAAAGCCAAGGTAAGTCTGGTTTGTCACATGACCCCTTTTACTATAATGTATTATTGATAGATTCGTCCAACTCCCTTTCACAGAAAATCCCTGTACATGTGGTAATTGTTGTCATTTCCCATGTTATTCCCATTAACCGACTTGTTCTGTAGTCCTCTTAGCCCAGAACACAATCTGAGGCTCTGTAACATCCTCCTTGTCAATTTACCAGCGGTTATGTGTTGTTATTTACTTTACACGTCGTGTAGCTGTCCATAAATGTTCTCTAGTTTATTTAAACTCCCTTTTTATAGGCTTCCCAGACAAAACATACACTGTATATCCTTAAGTTTCTTGCAGAGTATTCCTAAACTGTAAAAAAAAAATTTGCAGTAGTTACTTTGTGCATCTGTTAAGACACAAGTATTTTGCAAGAAGCCTTGTTGAAACAACCTGGAGTTTTCTAACCTGCAATCAGCAGCAGACACCATGTGACTTAAGCACAAGCTGGGTTGGCATTACATAACCCTTCAAGTATTACTAACTATAATATTTACTGTACATATATGATGTTGAAGTGTTGTCATCTGGGTAGCCTATAACCTTTGATTTTAGTCAGCCACACTGTCTGTCAATTAATTTGTTTGTTAAATAAGTGTCTCTGGGGTTTTTCCTTCTAACCACAGCAACATGGAAACAATCAGTCAATCAGAGGAGGAACACTATCGAGGACCAATCCGCCGACGCAGAAGCCGCCAAGCCCTCCCATGTCAGGGCGTGGCACGCTCGGGTAAGATTTCCATTTCAGTCACCATGAAAGGAAGACTAATCCTCTAATTATCAAACACTGAATGAAAAAAACAGAACTCTTGTGGGGGCGATTAAAAGAACACGCCGTTAAAGTACATCACATTCATTTATTATTGGGGATTTCTTTTTGGCATTTTGTGCTTTTTTAAAAAAATAAATGTGAGGTGAAGAGTAACATAAAATAACACACTGAACACACACTACCCACTGAGCTATGACATTTTAACTTGAGTGTGGTTGTGTGTTTATGGTTTTAGCTCATATAGTGATGTAAGTGAAACTTCAGAGAAAAGGGATCTAGGAAAAAGAAAAGTCTGGGAACTTTTATCGGTTAGTGAGGACAGGTCTCACACCCTGTTGAACCCTGTCGCCGTGTGATGCATGGCAGCATTCGGCGACACTAATCAGATATTAAACTGCTGTGTGCTCACATCCAGCCCGTAGTGCACAGCATCCAGCTGGGTAAACTGATAGGATTTACAACGCTCTGGTGAACACAGCCTCACAGTTTCCATCGTAGGATTTTCACTGAATTATGATCATTCTCGTCCTTGAGTTGCCATTCATTTATTTCATTTTCTCACCTTCGGCTGCTCCAGACGCAACACGTCCTACAAGACCCTGGAGCCGGTGAAGCCGCCCACGGTGCCCAATGACTACATGACCAGTCCCGCCCGACTAGGCAGCCAGCACGGCCAGCAGCACAGCCCCGGCCGCACGGCGTCGCTCAACCAGAGGCAACGTACTCACAGGTACATAGGAGAGAACATAAGAGGAGGCACAGTGTCTGTCACACAAGCCGTACGTTCTAAACATTCACAGCTTCACAAATGTGGGGATTTACTGCTTTTCTTTGTTTTATATCATTGTAGCTTGAACGTCTTTGGGTTTTGGATTTTTTGTTACTTGAGACAAACAATTACAAGGTTCAGTCATGGGCTTAATGAGCTTTGATGCAATTTAAACTGATAGCAGCCAGACAATGCTCGTATGGTTAAGCTTGACATATGAAGTTGCCCAAACAAACTTCATGAGTATAAAATCTCTAAAATCTGCAACTGAAATGTTAATCAACCTTGCACAGCTTTTAATGCAGAGTGATACAGGTACTTCATACTTTTTTTTCCCATTTGTGGATAGGTATGAGTGGAACTAGTGTTTCAGCTACACCTCTAAACCGAACGCTAAATGTGCACTCAGTGTTTCAGTAATGTGAGAAAAGCATCTCTTCAAACACCACCCCCCCTCCCTCTTTGCCAGGTAGTTCTAATCTCTTCACTTAGTTCAGCAGCTTATAGCACTTGCACACCTCTTCCTCCTCTCTGCCGCACTAAATCCAGCATTTGTCTGACAAGGCTCGGAGGGTTTCTTACGCCAGCCTGAATCACTCCAATATTAATATCTGTAAAAGCCTCTGATATAAAGTGCTGTTTCAAAAAACCCTAAGTCAACTACAGCATGGAAACCCTTGAACATGGCTCTCAAGGATTGTTACCCAGAAATCTCCACGTAGAGAAAGCCAGAGACGCCTCCATCAAATTTGAGTTACGAGTGACTGAAGTCGCCTCATTAGCTAAAAAGCCTGTTATGCTGACTGTGATGCTCATAAATATTACATAACTTTTTATTTTTTCCTACCGTTGCCCAACTTTCCATGTATGTTTGCACAAAGCTGCTCAGTCACACAGACGTTCCCCAGTTCTTCTTCTATTTTATCAGTTAAAACCAAACTCCAGCTCTTCCTGTAATTTCTGTGCAGCTCTTCTCATCTGTTCAGCATCACTGTGGTTCAAAGACACCCTAATGTCCCTTTAACAAACTGATGCTGTCCTCAGAGTCGGGCTGCACCCACCCTGCTTCAGCTAATATTGCTGTGGCATCACTATTTGATTATACAGGCTTGAAGTCGGCTGTGCTTATTCAGCTCATCAGTCTCTGCCATCCTCAACTGAGATCTAAATTCAATATGAGCCTGTGCTCCATGTTCCCTGTTATTATCTAATACCTTTCTGTAGGAAATATTTCACCATCGTACTGTATGCAGGTATTATTGTTTTTAAAAAAAACTTGTTTATTTGTCACCATATCTTGGTGATAAAATCTGATTACCTGCTTCAAATATCCAAACTAAACAGGATGCATTTAAGAGTGCGTGACCCTGTGGATGAAGAAGGACACATCAAAATGCAATAGATTATTTAAAAAAGAAGTAGACAAACAGTGTTACTTCATCTTCTTTCAAAGTATTTTGCGTGTCCCACTTTTTCAAAATTGTTCTTCCTCAACAAACATCTACTCTTCCACTCCTAAATCAACCTAAAAGTAAAGAGGGTCTGCCTGGAGGCCAGGGGGCTTTGACCATGAGGTACAACGGCTCCTCGGTTCGTGTCCACCCGGGGACCTTTGCTGCATGTCGTTCCTCACCCATCTCCCATCATTTCCTGTCATCTCTCACTGCGATTTCTCTAATGAAGGCATAAAGCAAAGTAAAAAACTTAAAAAAAACTAGGAAATTTTACTCAAAAGATTTCAAATAATTTTTAAAATGTGAGCACCATTTTGTAAATTATATCCAGCTTAAAGTTTAAATTGTAGTTTAAGCACAGTTGTGTCTTTTTATAATTTTTTTTTAAAAATGGGACTGGTTTATGTTTTTAAAGACTTGTGTTGGCGTGTGCAGCAGAGAAGCATAACTATACATAATATATGAACTATGAATATAGTGTGTTTTTTTATTATTTTCTTTTTCTGCATCAGACAAAAAACATTAGCTTCCTGTTTATCTTCCTGTCACTTGTATTTTCTGTGCCCATCACCTTTCACATTGCAACGTGAAAATAAACATTACATTTGCACTGAATGTAGCATAGTTTATCTTTTTTATACACCAGTTCTTTAAGAAAAAACAGGTCTGGAATCCTGTTGTATTAGATTATTTTGCTAGATTACAGCAACCCTCATGCTCATCCTCTGCTGTTTATGCACTTTGGGTTATTTATGTGCATCTGAAGCCTCAATATCAGTTCTCAGAATGTTTCAGTCTATGTTTGATTATGCTCTGGGCTACTCTGTAAAGTCTATTCCTCCCGCTTATGTCGAGTCATATCATGTCACAATGCCTTAGTGCCTTAATGCTTTTCACATATTGTTTTCACTTTTTGTTCCTTTCACTGAGCAGTGTCTTTTTCTTCATTGGCTCCAGGGATTGTTGTCAGCTGTGAGCAAGTGAGCTGGAACTTTTTTTTTTAAGCCTAGCTGATTTATAAACAACTCACTGTGTTTGGTAGAGGCTGAATGAGCAAGGCAGGCAGGAAGGTGGAGCAGGAAAGACGGAGCTCAGTGTTTTTTTTTATTTCACAGCGAGCATTTTGAAACAAAGAGGGAAAGGATGGGAAAAGCAAAAGCTGGGGAAGAGATGAATGGGTTAGCGAAGGAACGGGTAAGTTTTATATAGGGATTAGAATGGATAAATTCAGAACATGCAGATGGGGAAGTGATGTATGACGTTGACTTCAAAAGAGGGATCACACGATATTGTTTAGCCTTTATCCCCACAGACACTCCTCTCCCACTGCCACCAACATCCTTCAGAGGGGCAACCCCTGCTGGTTGTGCCTGGAGAGCCCGAGGGCTCGACTGACATGGATCAGAGTGGTGGAGAGGGGGATGATGGGGAAGTGAAAAGGGGATAAAGAGATGTGTGTGTGTGGGGGGGGGAGCAAGAAGGGGTTCGTAGGGATGGAAGGAATCAGAGGAGACGGAGGTTTGTGGGGGGTGAGGGGTTTGGGAGACGAATGGGGGAATCAGTTTACAGGCGGTGGGGAGATGAGAGGTCGAGGGATGGTTAGGGGTGAGAGGTAGGGAGAAGGATCAGTTGAAAAGCAGGGATGAAAGAAGCAGGAAAAAGGAGAGGTGGGGGTGAGGGGCTGGGAGTAGAAATGAGGATCAAGGCCAGCCCGAGAGAGAGAGTGAGAGCGGGAGGGGGTGGGGGGGCGGGGATTTAGTCGGTCAGGGCATTGATCTACGAGCCCCGGGGTCAAACACAGGGTGAAACAACGCTTATACAGGCCACTGCCGAGCTGACATACATACATACATACTACATTCCCATGTCTAATATCGACAGAGGTTAGGGCTGGGCAGGACGCCATTTGTCCAAGGAATAATCCAAAGCCCAGAGATGTTCCATTTCACTAATAGGAAACTGAGAAAACCAGCAACACTTTGCCTGAATAAATGGTTTCATTGATAAATTGACCAACAAAACTATTACGAAAAATGCACATGCAATTTGTCATATTTGAAACCAGGCGTTTTTTTTTTCTTCTGGTGATCGGCTAACGCTTAATCAACTAATTGAATCGGCACTGTTTAATATCGACTGGCTACACTTTCGGCACCTGCATAAAGCTGTTATGTCACTATGTTGATTTTAGTTCATTCACTAAAAATACAGCATTGTTTGGCAAAGGCTCATATCATGTACAACAAAGTGTTTTAAATTTAGCCTCGTGTTCAGCCCCATTATAACGTCAGCTGCCAAATGAAAGTAAAACTTATTATTAGACTAAATACACAGAGCGTATAATAATCACTGTAAATTAGTAGAAAGTAGTATTTTGGGGCAATCTAAGGATATGAAGCAAGATATTTTTAGGTGGTTTTCATGAAAAAGCATAATTATTGATATTAACTCTTTATTCCATTTTACTGTGTTACTCTCAGTCTTCAATAGAGTGACTCATGTCCTGTTCTCCTGGGTGTGTCACTGCTAGCTCAGTCCTAACAAGCCAATAGACAGAAACAATGAATATGAGAGAAGAAATTGGACAATAATATGCTTTAGATAATACTTAAAAAGAGAAGTTTTACGGCCTTATAATTCTAAATAGGACATGCAGATGCCGTCCATATATCTGCAGTATTACCTGCTGTGCAGTCTGAGCAGGTTGCCCTGAATAAAACTGTGTCCTCTTTCTCTTCCGTCTCTCTCCTCCCTCAGTGGAAGCAGCGGGGGTAGTGGCAGCAGGGAGAACAGCGGCAGCAGCGGTATTGGCATTCCCATCGCCGTGCCTACGCCCTCCATCCCCAACTCTGGACCAGGTGAGTTTTGCTGGGGGAACATCGCGTAGTGACAGTTACCACAGGCCAGTCAGCCTTGTACCTTGTTGGTATTATGTGAATTGTACACAGCCAAACTGGCCCTACAGTGCTGATAACCCACCTAAGAATTTCATTAGTGTTGGTTTGGGAGAGTTTTGTTACCCTTTCCCATGCTTCAAATACTGGATAAAAGAATTTTTCTGTCCTGATAAGAACACTCTTGAGTATTGAAAAGATAAAACATCTGCTATTTATACTAAAAAAAAATCTGTTTTGCACTCCCTTATCAGCTGAAGTCTGGTCTGTTTGACCTGTGTGATATGAGATAACTCTCTTTAAACATTGACAGGCAGTGATGAGAATACAGGCTCTGCTGAGAGCCTCAGCCTGAGTTTACTTTTGTTAACACAATAAACAGTAGACACACTACATTACACTGCATACTACTATTAACTACGTGCCTTAAGTCATAAGTGCATATCTGTGTCTACGTGCATAAAATATCCAATTTTAAGCTATTGGTTTAAAATATTTTGGAGTAGCAGGCATTAGTTTATTTTTTAAAATGTAATATAAATGTGAATACCAATAATAGACATTAGTTGACGAGGTGTAAATGTAACATGCTATTTGCAGATAGTGAGACTACGCTGCACAAAGCCTATGTTTACCAGACAGGGATTATGGAGGCCCATTGTGTTCTAAGCACAGCTGATTCTCTATCCTACTGTGTAAATAGGCCAAGCTGCGTTAGGCCTGCCGCTTTATAGTGGAACAGTAAGGCCCACATAGCACCATGCACAAGCTACACATAGTACTGCATTACACCATACACAAGCCTTAGACACTGCTGCGTTTAACTTTTTGCAAACGATTGGAGCTGAACGAGAAATATTTTAGGTTTGTGTAGCAGCTTTTTTACCTCAGCGCCAGGATCAGGCCAGCAGCACAGAACTAACCACAGCTCTCCCTGCAAGCTGGTCGCTATGGAAACACTCAATTCATGCTACAAAGAAGTGTCTCTAAGTGTGTGCGGAGCAGCGCTGCGCCTTGACAAAGTCGAAGCACTCCTCCAGCCCCAAAGGGTCCTTGAGTAAAGTGATGTGATGTTATGTAACGGCGTAGAGGTGCAGGAGGCGGGCGAGGACAGACTCTGTTCTGCCTCTGCATTAAATGGTTACTAATGTTAACACTCCTTTCAGTCCCGCCCATGTCCGCTCCCCCGGGGGCACCTCCCCCACCCCCTCCTCCACCACCACCTCCTCCTCCTCCTCCCATGGCCGGGCTCGGCCCCCCAGCACCACCACCACCACCACCACTACCTATAGGTGAGACTACTCGACCTTCGAGGCCGATCCTGACGCCTCTGCTTCGTGGACGGTGGATAATCAGCTCGTCTCATGGTGGTGGAGATGCACAAACAAGGGTGTTATGCGTGTGGATGGATGTCTTTCTGTTTGTACACACTGCAAGCAAGCGGCTCTGATTGTTTCTGTGTGATCGTGTCATCGTGCCGTGGTTTTGTCCAAAAAAGATCTAAATTGATGAGTAAACAAAACTCGCTAAAAAGTACTAGTTAGTTCATGGAAATGGGCATAAAACACTTAAATCAACTTCAATAATGGATGCAGCTGTTCTCTAAAGTTCATTTGAGATATTTAATTCTGTAGCAATATGTATTCTGTAGAATATCCTTAATTTCTTCCCATAATTTGCCCATTAACTGAAACAACATTGTTTAGGAAATGAGAAAAGGACGGAAATCTGATTGGCTCTCGGCAGCTGAACATGTTGATCTTCTGCACATCAGCCAGATTCCCTGGTTGTTCAGCTCTGTAGGAAATGACTGGCTGATGCTGATGGTCTTGCTTGCAGTGTGAACCGGCTCTGTATGTGCTTCTGTTTGGAGACACAGCAGGTTACTTACTATATGAGAAAGTGTTTTTCTGATTCAGTTCCGTAACATTTTTCTAGATCCTCTGTGGTGGCGGTGCTTCGTTATTCTTCACCAATATGTTATGATTGGCTAATAAAGAAGTCTCATATCACCTAAGGCCTGGCAAAAATGACTGCCTATAAAATGTCTAAAATTGTTAAGTTACATGTAAGTAGATGATAACTTTAACATGCCAGAAATAAAATTGAAGGCCTCCAAATTGAGTTCCTTTATTCCATAGAAATATGTAAAAATCAATTTACCTTAAGGACTTTGAGGCTTCTTTTGCACAGGTATGTTACTGTTTCATTTGAGTTCCTTTACTTTTCCCAGAGAAAAGTGATTGCATGTGAAGCTGCATCAGGCAATATTTTGCTGAATTCTTTCTTAAACCACAGCTGGGCCTGCAACAGAGAAGAACCAGAGTTTAGCTCAGCCCAGTTACAGCATTAGTGTTTGCTAAGTGGACATTTATGTATTCACTAAATTAAAACTGGTTACACCACACATTTAGTTCTTGTGGAGAGATGAATATACATTTTTACACCCAGTAACTCCCGAATGCACGTGTTGAATAGCAAACTGCACCAGCTGACTAATTAATAAACTAGAGATATTTTAAATTACATTTCACAAAAAATGTTATGCCAGTTATGTTAGAGTAGCTTAATGACCAAATAATATCAGTTAGGTTAGGATGTTTGCATATTCCCCACTCATTCTAAATAAACAGGCCTACTACTAACTCTAAACTACTAAAATGTCATGCCTAAATTTATAAGCATTGTTGGATAAGTTTAACACATTGTTTGGCCCATAAAACTGTTGTGTTGTGATTTATGTTGCAGCTTGTGATGCCACAGTGACTTCCTGTTGTCATAGTTAATTGCTTTTGATTGGATGGCATTTCCTAGCAACAAGGTTACACATTACTAAAGTCTTTACTAGCTGAATGTTTTAATGGTGCAACCTGATTTAGTGAATCACTTCATTTTAAATTAGCTAGTACTTACTAACTACTTAACAAGTAATGGATTTACTAATAGCCCAGTCCAGGTGCCAGGTATGGCCACTGCATTCACATTAAGTAATAAAGTGCTGAAATACACAACAGTGAGGCAGCAGTCGATTCTGATGCTAGACTCACAGATGATGTCCCATAATAAGATTTCCTGGATAATGAAGTCTTAAAATATTCAACTCAAGCCATTCGAATGCTGCAAACATTCAATTTTGCCTAATGTAGCTTTACCTTACACAGGGTATTGACTCACTGAGTGATAACTGGCTTTGATTTACTGTCAGAGGTTCTGCAAGGCTGAAAAACATCCAGCTGTGTGTGTGTGTGTGTGTGTGTGTGTGTGTGTGTGTGTGTGTGTGTGTGTGTGTGTGTGTGTGTGTGTGTGTGTGTGTGTGTGTGTGTGTGTGTGTGTGTGTGTGTGTGTGTGTGTGTGTGTGTGTGTGTGCGCAGCGTCTGCTTATATCTGATCGACTGCAATCTTGAGCAAGATGATCACTTGAAACATGCACATTCTCTCCTCCGTACACCGATGCACACTTTGAGCTGTAATTACTTCTGCCAGTGACAATGTGGAGAAGTTTGTTTGCTCCTGTGTTCCTCTGAAGCTTTACTTCCTCTGGTTCCACCCATCCCTATCTGAGAGCAGGGCCCGTCCTTAGAGACGGTATGTTATCTAGAAATGTGAAAAGGAAATACTCTCTTTAACCCCTTCTCTCCCTCTGTAATTTTGTCTTTCACACACACACACAGCTTCTATAATCTTAAAATATTTGAGCGTATTTAATGTTGTTGTAACAGTGCTGTTGTTTCGAAGGGATGATCTGGTTATTATTAGACAACCAGTGTAACGATACACATGTGCACTCAATTGTGAACTCGCCCTCTCTCTGCGATTGCTCAAACACATTCACAATCCAAAAATGTGTGAAGTTATTTTCACTGCCAGATCAGTCTGTTCTGTTGCTGCTTCTCCTCTTCTCTTCGCTCACTGAATCTTTTACTACAGTTTTCCTTTGTAACAACATTTCTAAAAGAACCTTTTTGGGTGCAGGATTCATTTGGATGATCTTTTGGGACTCACTTTACCATTGTGAAATATCTCTGCGTAACAGTGTTATCAATTAACGATCTGTGTTGCTTCCCTAGCTCACCCGCTCCCTTTAATTGGTTATTGATTGTCTTTTTATAAGGTGTGGGGCTCGAAATCAATTTTTAAAAGCTCACATTATCTTTTACAATCTTGATGATTCATGTTTTGGGTGCTTTTTTTTTCTCCTCTTCCCTTTTCCATCTCCTCTGTCTAACCCCCCTCTCCCTCTTTGGTCCTGTCTGTCTTTCTCCTCTTCCTTCCCTTTTCTTTGGGTGTTTCTAGTGGTGGCCCCTGGGCCTGGTCTGGGCCCCGCTCCAATGTCCCAGTTTGGAACCATCTCGCGGCAGATTTCGCGGCACAACCCCTCCAACTCCTCTGTCTCTATGGTTTCGGCCACGGGCACCTACCGCCGGGCGCCGTCGGTCACTTCCCAGTTCTCCTTGCAGCAGCAGCAACAACTACAGCAGCAACAGCAGCAGCAGCAACAGCAGCAACAACAACAACAACAACAACAACAACAACAACAGCAGCAACAGCAGCCTCATATTAATGGAGGCACTCCTGGCTATGGCCAGAATTCAAGTAAGGCCCTTCTGTCTCCAATCCCAGCCTGCTTTATAGATCCTGAACTGTCACTGAAGCACAAAACTTCACATTTTTCCAAATCATGCACAGTCACAAACTAAAGCAAGCTAACCTTTGTAGCCAGAGACCCAATATTTCATGTTGGCAAGTGAGTCACTGCTTTCTGAAGGTCAAGCTTGCATTCTTGTCAGAATTATTGAATTTTACTTTAAGTCTGAAAGCACAGGTTGAGGCTTTTTATCCAACTGTTGGACGTCTTTAGTATTGATACAGAATGCCTCGTGTTTGGGTTCTACAGCAGATACAATGCAGACAATCGATGTCTGCTAACAACGCATAGACACAGTTTTTGGCCTTGTAAAAGCAGAAGTTAACCTGGAAATGCATTTCTCTGTACATCATGTGGATTTGGGTTGCTTTAAAACTCCACTAGCTGTCTTTACTTCTGGTATTAACATGTGATCAATATCTGGATACACTGTCTGGGTGATGGCATCCACTCCAGGGGCCTTTGCATCTGTTATTAAAGCGTCACCTTGATTCTGCCCGAATTGTGATCTTGCTGGGAGGATTATTTCCCTATGAATGTGGTCTCGCTGTAGGGATTGCATTTACACCTGGTTGAGATCAGATCACAATGTGAGCCGGATTGCATTCCAATCATAATGTTTTCCCTGTGCATTGCTTTGTTCCTTATCCATATATATTATCCAGAACCGGACTGCACGTTAATGCCAGGTGTAAGTGGTGCTCTAGTGCCTCATCTCCTTAAGACAACACCAGCCTCGATGGGCATTTACTGAAGCACTGGGCTTAATGTGTTCTGCAACTGTTGATTAGTTCAAGTGTCCCTAATCTGGGATTGATCAAATGATCTTGAAAAGTCAAAAAAAAAAAAAAAAAAGAAAGAAAACAAGAATTCAGAGCACTCTGTACATACATAACAGGTCTGAAGGGTGTTCAGCAGGCTTGTCCTGGACTGAGGTGGAGGTTGATAGACATCCAAGGCAAACAGTGCCTCCTTCTGGCCACTGGAAATTCACTTCTTTTAGAGCCATGAGTGGGAACTGTCTGTCTGACAGAAATCAGACATAATCCACTGTTTGTCCTCTGGCCTCAGTGATCTCATCACACTCACAGACACCCCTGAACTTTTCAGTGTTACAGTATTTGTGTCTGATCTGTGGAGATGCTGCAGCTGCAGACAGTTGAATGAATTAATCTGTTAACTATTGTTTCAGAATTGGTAATGTTACTCTTGTAACAACAAAAAATCTCATTTGGAATTTATAATGTTTCTGTTAGCTGACAGGTTAATTGATTTGACTAAGCATTTCAAGTCTGTCACTGTTCCACATCACTCTGTCCTGTTCTATTAGATGTATACAAGCTCACAATTCTTGCAGTGTGTTTGTGTCTTTGGTCTGTATCCGTGTTGTTTTCTTGGGATCGGTGTGCACTCTTAACTGTCTTCTGTACATTCTGATGGGCTTTCTCTTTCTTCTTTTTTTTTTTTTGTTTCTCTGCCTTTCTGTCTTTTCTCTGCTGGCTTTCAGTGTCTATCGCTCCTCCTCCTCCCCCCATGCCCCAGCTGACTCCACAGATACCTCTGACTGGCTTTGTGGCCAGGATGCAGGAGAGCAGTAAGTGAAGAGGCTAAGACATACTTTTAAGCCTTCTCTGTGCCAATTATTCCCATTCCATTTCCTGAACACCCAGCATGCCTTGTGCTTGTTCATCCTCTCCTCCCCCCTGTCTGTTGACAACAATTAATACCAACCTCCTGCAACAAGAGTCTCTTCGTGGTTTATATAACTTAATGTAGCTTTATCTGCTGTTTGGAGATTTGCTATGAACATGACACTTCCTTAGTAGCAATAGGGGTATGATACATAGCTGCTGAAGTAATCCCTTTCTTTTTAGAATATGTGCAGTGCAAAAGCAACCAACTGAGATTGCCGAGGGCCACCTAATCTGCTTCTTGTGATTTAGTGTCATGCAGTGGCTTTTATCACCGACTGAGGCTTGGTATTCGTATGTTGAATGTTCTTGTAGCACTGCAGGGTTGAGCTGAGGTGAATGATAATGTTTAGGGGGGGGTTCCAAAGGTCTCTGCAAAACAGGACTGGAGAAGATGGGGCTCTTTGCTGCACCCTGCTGGTCCAAAACCTACAATACAGTTGAAGTGTTTAAATCTTGACCAGAAGCAACTTTAGATTTCTGTGATGGACATTTTTAATGAGTATGCTATAAAGCAATAATAGTGTTAGAGAAAGATGATTAAAATGATTTTACAGCTATCTATCTACCTTTTTTTTTTTTAATAGCTTTTTCCCAATGTAGATGCTATAACCTAATAAAGAGCATGACTCTGCATGTAATAACCATCTGAAGATAATTTTAAGTGTTCAAAAGTCCTTCACAGTTCCCTTTTTACCACATGTGCATGTCTGAATAGAGTCTCAGAGCCACAACAGGAGGAGCACAAAGCTTCACGAACCACTTAAGAGGCTTAAACATACAGTGTATGCTCCTATCAAGTGGGAAGTCCTAACAGTGATGCAGCCTGCTTGATGAATTTAACCTTAAAATACCTTCCATACACTCTCTTCTGCACGTCTCATCATTAATTCTGCATGATTCAGCCGTCCGACCTCTCCAGCACCAGGCTCATGTTGACCAGCGAAGCTTTGAATCTCACTTCCTGTGTCCGTTAAACAGTTGCAGATACTCCCACTCCGCCTCCCCCTCCGCCTCCGGATGACTTGCCCATGTTCGACGACTCTCCTCCACCTCCGCCGCCTCCTCCAGTGGACTACGAGGAGGAGGACGCCGCCGTCGTGCAGTACAACGACCCCTACGCTGACGGAGACCCGCAGTGGGCACCCAAGAACTACGTCGAGAAAGGTTTGCTCAGAGGGCAGCATGTTTTTTTTTTTTTTGGATGATGCTCAAGTCCTAACATTGGCTCATGTCCTCTAAACAAACCTCTCCATTCCCTTTTTCAGTGGTAGCCATCTACGACTACAGCAAGGACAAGGACGACGAGTTGTCTTTCATGGAGGGGTCGATCATTTACGTCATCAAGAAGAACGATGACGGCTGGTTCGAGGGCGTCTCCGGAGGCGTCACCGGACTGTTCCCTGGCAACTACGTGGAGTCCATCATGCACTACGCCGACTGAAGGGACCTCGCAGTAACCATACAGTCTATTTATTCAGTCATATCATAATCCACTGAGAGACTGACCGCCGCAATCTTGACTCCTGAGACGCATAGACATAACTGTATGATCCCCCCTTTTTGATATGACAGAATGTTCTTTCCCTTAACTGATTGCAAATAAAATGAAAAGTAATATCTATTTAGTTTATTTTGGTGTTATATGGGCGGGTTGGGGACATTTATGGAATATGTAAAAAAAAAAAAAATAATAATAAAACCCAAAAAAAGAATTTAAAAAATAGTTTCTAAAGAATTTGACTGCACGTGCTCACACCGGTTGATATCAAAGACGATGGTCACACAGCTGAAGGGTGTACGACATCATCTTGCCTGGACAAAAAAAAAAATTGGCGATTCGGGACTGAATCTGAACAAGAGTGTTAGGTTTGACGGAACAAATAAAATGGCGATGTCACGTAAACGCACCTTCAGTTGAAAGTGTTACCGTCAGTTGTATATAATGTGAGCTGCAGCCACTTGGGTTTATGTAATGTGAATTCAGTGAATGTCGATTATTTGATAGTTTTCATTAGTGGTGCTCTCCTCGACTCCGTAAGGCTCATTCGTAAAAAATAAACGCAGATGGCCTGTTGATCATTTACAAGTTTAAATACTGTATATGGTATTTCAAAGACAAATAATTACTCCTGAAAACCAGTCTTGGCGTGAAAGCATGCAAAATTTTGAGATATAATGTAATCTTAAGTTTATTGCCATTATGCTTCCATTATGTTGTAAATGTATTCACCTTTTTAATTTTTATTACACTGTTGAAATCACTGAACTTTTCAGACTCTGAAGTGAATTTCCAGCTTTCCCATGGTCTCACCCTCTATATACCGATTTGCATCTTAAAAATGAAATGGAGTTTACTTTTTTCATGCATTTAGATCTGTTTGAAGCAAGAGAACACATTCCATATTATTATTTTTTGGCTTATTATCAAGCATTTTAAGGTTATGTCACATCACTGTTATTAACTTTATACTTATCCACTTAAAACCTGTAGGATCCATTGTTAACATTGGAAATAATGGACTCTGATGGACAGCGTGAAGTGATGATTAGACAGGAATTGTCGTGCCTGACACTGCCATGTGACAATTCAGATGTAATGTAGACCAATAAACAACTCTAATACCTCCTCAGTCTTCACCAGGCAACAATGACCTGCTCTGGGTTCAAGGACCATGTTGAATGCTATGAACATGAAATCCTCTGGGTTGCACAGGTGTATATATTTTAACTCAAGTTAAATCAGCCAATCAATATTTAGGTTTCACTCAGGTCTAGGAATCATCTTTATAACATTGTATTTTTTCTGTTGGCCCACGTGCATCTAACATGACCTAATTTTTTGACTCCAAATGCATTCGTCATCGTTTACCATTTCAGGATACTGCAGCTAACGCCTTGATATTTTGCCCATTTGCTTTAGTTTTTCCAACAAACAAACTTGTTCCGTCTCAATTTCATGGGTAGAAATCTTGAACTCTATCCCTGTCTGCCCTTCATTTGTACATATAATATGTTGATTGAAAAATTAATGTACAGTCTTTTATAATAAACAATTCTACGTATACAACATCCACGTGTGGTCACTTGGAGGGAATCAAAAAAAGGAGCGAAGGCTTGGTTTAAATAAAAAACATAATAGTAGGTTTATTGAGTATACAGTCATTGCAGATGTTAAGGCCTTGGTTGTTACAGGTCAGTAAACGTTCACAGGTCAAAAAGACACATGACTTTTTGACCTCTGGGGGTGTGGACGGATCTCAAAAGACGATAACACAGATCCAAACAAGCACACCAATGACAGTCTCGCTTCCATTGTGTTTGGAATCACAGAGATTTTGCAATGCCGCCACAGCTCAGCACTAGCATGTAACAAACTGTCAGTCGGCTAGTTCGAGGCCTGGGACGTTGTTGCAGTTACAGTACTGTATAATGAAGAGTTGGCATGTAGCTTTCAGTGCCATACATTAATTTATGTTTGTTTTTTCCAAAACCATCACCGTTGATACTGAATCAGAGGATTTGCGCTTAAAAAAAAAAAAAAAAAAGTATGTATTTATACATTGTATTATTAAATAATTCGGCCTTGTGTATTTTTTGGGAGTGGTTGAGAGAGCCATGAAACATATCAGTTCAGAGAGACCCCTGTGTGCTGTTTTGATTAGTGTTCAGACAAATGCTGCCATATTCATCTAGTGTTGGCACTAAAATCAGCACCGGGGGTCCTTCAGAACCAAACTCCTATCGCTTCTCTCACCGTTATTGTTCGACCCTTGCCTGTGCAGACAGTGCAGACAGTGAGCTGCTTTCCCCACAGGTACAGTAGCTGCCTGAAGTGAATCCCGGCAGAGGACGTTCACTTGTCTCTGGTGAGGACCATCTCAGTAAGCCTGATGAGGGCGTCTCTCTCTGCCGACGGCCTCAGCCTGTTGATCTGCCTGATGGCTTCTTGACAGTAACGCTGGGCCAGGTAGTTGGTCTGTTGAACGCCATCGCTCTGAAACAGAAGAATAAGGTGTCTATCCAACCATCTATCTAAGGAAAGTTTGCTGCGCATTGTTGTGTATCGGCAAAACATAGCTTTTTCCAAATCAAACACATACCCCGATTGCATTTTTGGAGGATTTTGTGAATTTTTAACAGCTTGAGCAGAGAGCACTGAGTTGTGCCATTAATCGTACAAATGTGTTTAACAGTCTTGGCATCAACAACCCTTAAAAAGAGAGCACTGTACAAATTAAAATGCCTCCTCCACTCTCAACTGAAAGCACACACAGCTTAAGTGATATTAATTAATATATTTAAGGTTCTGATCAGTCTTCACTTAATATATCAAACTTTAGTTGTTTTATATTTGTCTATTTACAATAAAAATGCCTCACAAAAAGAAGCAGATATTTTTTAAAGTCTACAGGTAGAAACGTATTGATAAATATTTTCTTCACAATGTATTATTGGTCATACCTGAAGGACGTACTGCCAGGCTCGATCTACGTCTCCTTTAGAGCTGAAACGCCTAATGATCATTGCGTGGAGCTCAGGAAACTGCAAACACAGAAAGAAATTGAGAGAAAGACTGTACAGTTTCTATGAAAACAAATCAAACCATCTGAAATGCTGACGTTGGTTCTCACCTGTTGACAAGCAAACAGGACCGGTCCCGTGGCTAAGCCCAGTTTGAGATCTGCAGCTGTGGGCTTCCCCAAATGACTGGCTCCCGATGTAAAGTCCAAGACATCGTCCACCAACTACAGGAGAAAAATGAACCCATAAAATCATTTTATATACCTATTAGACATTCAAAGTTTAATACTACACACCATTATGTCCTGGATGTAAACCAAATGTACTGAGAAATAGAGGATAGTAGAGAAGATTAATGGAGTTTTGGGTCTCACTTTTCAAATAAACTGTACAGTAAACGGCTGACATGCTGTAGCTTGTAAAAGATATAATAGATTTTAAAAAAAATTAAAGATTTAAAGATTTAAAGAGACAGAAAATGACCTGAAATGCGATGCCAACATTCTTCCCGTACTGGTAGGCTATTTCATGAACCTCAGGATCAGAAGTCACCAGAATGGATACCTTAAACAAAAGGAGGAGAGACAGTCAACAAACAGCATTAAATGTAGAAACCAAGGCCTTTCTCCAACTCGGTGATATTTTCGTGGAGACAGAACGTACATACTGCTTTACAACTGTTTGCAATGAGACTCGCTGTCTTCTTGAAGGTTTTCTCGAGGTAGTGTTTGAACCTCTCGTTCTCGTTCTCTTTAGAACCCAGCTGCATGAACTCACCTGGAAGCGCAATCAACATATATCAGGGAGTACGTTAGTGGATTCTGGACAGTTTGCTACAAGTTACAGCATCCAATCTGCAAGGTTTCTTTAAACTGACTGATGTGGCAAAAATAGCACAAACAATCCGACCACTGTACCTCGCACTAGGTCCTCTATCACCTGGGACATCACTTTTACCACTGCATTGTTACCGATGCGAGCCAAGAGCACGGAGGCAGCCGAGAGGATTAAATCTCCGGCCAAGATAGCCTGCAAGAGACAAAACAAATGTTATTCTTATTCTGAAATATTAATGAGAATGAAGTGATGCAGCAGAAAGTATGAGGTGAGGATTTATTTCCCTTACCTTTCTTTCGCCCCACATGTCATTGATTGTTCTCTTTCCCCTCCGTTTATCCGATCCGTCTATGACGTCATCGTGCACCAGGCTGGCAGTGTGGATCATTTCTGAGATCATAGCTAAGGCCCTCTGTCCTGGTAGCAAATCTCTACAGAGGACAAAGAGCCGGCGAGAGATTGCAGGAAGTGAGATGGAATAAAACTCTGGATTATGCTTCAAATAGAGTCATTACAGGGTGTGGTGCATCTTCACTCTTACAACTGTGTTATAGGTCACTTTGGGTTAGTAGGAGCAGCAAATGAAACAGAATGTTTTGTTAAAGTATGAAGGTCTGAAGTGATTCAGTCTTACCCGGCTCTGTTGCTGTGGATGTTGAGTGCCCGGGCCATCAGGATGACTATAATTGGTCGAATTGCTTTGCCTTTGCCATCAAAGTAGTAGTCGCATAGAGACTTCAGCTCTTCTTTGGTTACAAATAGCTCCTGCGAGGCAAAGTCATACAATTCATGTCTTTTATGTCAATCATAATCAACTGACACCATGATAAAATAACATCCAATTGACTTGTAGTACTCCAACTTAAGATAAGCTTTAAATGCCCTCCTGACTCTACGCTGTACAGACTGTTAACTAACCTAATGTTAGCTGAAAACTCCCATTATTTTATATGTAGAGACACATAGCAAGTACACTCTGTGTATTGAAAATGTACCTTTCTGATGTCATCAAATAAACTTTGTAAATCTTTATTGGCTAATGTGAAGGGGTCCTTCAGCTTCGCATCACTGTGTATCTTTCTGCAGCAGCAAGACTGTAGTGTGGGATCCAGCAACCGGGACTTGTGTCTGCGGAGAAAGACAACACAAACTGTAAAATAAAGTGGCAATTACACAATTTAACAGGCTAATATTGGTTATTTTTATTGTTTTTACCCTAACCCTAACCCTCATTGGCTGTGCAACAGCTACATTTCCTGACATGCACAGAAAACCAAAACATAAAAATTCTGGTGTGCTAAAAACTGTCAACTGCAGTGTAAGGCAACAAATTATAATAATATGCACAACTGCGTGGACAGCCATCGGTTAAGACAACTCACCTGGTGAGAGATGAAGTAAAGTTTAAAGTTTTCGTATTTATCTTTGTTGGTAGTGCCGATGGCCGCCTCTGAAACATCAAAAAGGACATGATACAAATAGGACATTAGAAATGATACTTTTAGGACAACAAAGTCAGCATTTCCCCTTCAAGAATTTAACTCCTGGCAGCTTAGAAAGGTTTTTAGAAACATATAACTGAACAGTGACCTGCAATAATACATGAAAAATGCAAATAAGTAATAATAATAATAATAATAATAATAATAATAATAATGATAATAATAATCTGAGATGATGATTTTGGTTTCTGCTTTAAATGATTTGAGGGTTAAATACTGTCTAAAGCTTTGTAGTGTTTACTCTTTTTTTAGCAAAGTAGTGTTTTTATTATAGAAATCCTGAGTAACAGGTTGAGTCAGTGACGAATGAATGAATGAATGAATGAATGAATGAATGTAAGGTTTAAATAAATTATTGAATGCACACTCGACCAGACGCTGGTTTAGATGTAGGTGGACAGCCAACGTTAGCCAAGTAAAGAGCAGAGCTTAGTGTAATATCCACAGCAGGTCTTGACCTTTATCCCAGCTGCGAGCCAACACCCCCCTCCCTCCTCCTCCTCCTCCTCCCTCCTCCTCCTCCTCCTCCTCCTCCCCTGTTGCAACAAGTCACCACTCATTTAACAAATTATTACCAAACACAAGAAACTCTTGCAAAACACACACTTCCAGGACACTTAAGTAACACACCGGTTATCTGAATTAGACATTGTTTGTGTCGGGGCTGCTTGGCTGACAGCTCGGAGGTGTGTATGACCTTCCAGGGTTTGACAGGACTTCCTGCCGAGTGTCGCCGGCAAACTCACCTCGTTGCCCGGCCGGGAGCTCCAGGATGTCCGCCCCAAGGAGGACGCGGAGACGGACACACACCTGCCGTTAAAATACCACAAGGTGTCCAATAAACTCGTGCCAGTACAGCTTGTACTCCACCTCCGGCACTGCCTCCACCATGGACCCGCCATGTTCCCACAGCAGCGTGCGTCAGGACGGGTTATATATTTGACCGGAACCGGAAAACGGTCACCGGTCGTCGGTCCGTGACGTTTCATAACGAGGAAGTAGCGTTAGCCGTGGATGGCGGAGAGTAGAGCGGGAATATGAGTAGATAACTCCTTTTAAATGAGTTGTATGCCAGAAGTTCAGTGATAGATGGAAAGTGTGGTTGTTTTATGTTTAAACTTGAGCTTTAAAATGATCTTAGTGGTCTCCAGAACATGTGTGTGGTTGTTTTGAAGCTAACAGCTAGCTGGCTAACTGTAGATCTGATCTCAGAACAGCTAAAAACACTAAGTTACATCCACAACACTGTTTATAGCTTACATTTAAGGTGTGTTTTAGTTACATTTCTTTAGGTTGTTACTCAAAAAAACTGATAAAAAAACTCTTTTTAGGGAAGATAGAGCATTTAAATGCTAGTTGATATTTGTTGTTTGTCTGCAGAGGAAAGTTGCATTGTGTTGTTGTTACACTCAAACATTGTACTTATTCGTTCACACTACACTGCATTTTGTATAAATATGCACTTTGCAGTATGTATGCTGCACCTACATTAAGAAAACAACTCCGCTGTAGTACTCTTTTTAACAGTAACTAGTTGTAGGTTCAGATTTTATTTGCAAAATATATCAACAAATGAATAAACTAACAGTAAATGAAGTAGTTGCAACCTTAATACGTCAATAACAACAAGTATTTTTACATTTTAGACTGAAACATTAAGCTGATAATACTTTTAAATGCAGTAAACATTGTGGTTTTATGTTAAGTAAGAATCAGAGTACATCCTCCACCACTGCTGTTTGCCTTATGAGGATGACCAGCGGGAAGTCATAGTTTATTTATTATTTAATTTATTACAACATCATTGCTTACAGGGCAAAGGCAGCTGCTCCGTCTGGGGAAATGTGCAGCATCCAAACTGTGTTAGTGTTTGCTCTCGTAGCAGCAACCAGCGTCACTCCTGTTTATGTCCTGGAGTTCTGCCAAGGTACTGACCGTGAATGCCACAGTCATGACGAAATGCCATCAGGCACCGTCAAATCCAGGTGGAACATGAGTGTTTCAAACCTCATACAGGACCTGGACCAATTCAGTGTGTCCTGCAAGAAGCTTATAGGTAAAAGAGAGTCTTCATCATTGGTAAATGTATTTAAATAAAGGTTTATACAATGAAAGTGTAAATAAATGTCACCACCATTCTGTCCTTTCTGCAGAAGCATTTCCAGTCGATGAGGTTGATGGCAACTTTGTTCGCACTGTAAAGAACTGCATATTCTCCAAATCCATTCCAACCCCACTGAAAGGCCCGTTAAGACTGGCAGCAGTTTCCAAGGTGCTGTTGTAATAACATCATAAGTGTCACGTAGTGTTTACTTAATAAGAGAGGAATCCACTTATATTTCAACTTGTCTCAACAGGATGTCGTTGAAGGCATCTTAGATGTAGACGTGGCTGTAACACAGTCTGAGGAGTTCCTGCATTATGCCAGTGGTGGCAGACTGCTACAGGGATCGGTACCACTTGCACACAGATATGGAGGTCATCAGGTAGAGTTAGTTTCAAATCCTTTTAGATTAAGTCTTACTGGACTGCATTAAATCTATTCAAACTTAATACAACCAATGTATTATGCACTAATTACTGACAGGGATCAGATTTGACTGTTTCACAGAGCGACAATTCAAAAACAGATTTTTTCAAACATATAATTCTTTTTTCTTTGACCAAGGACATATACAGGTATAACTCAACAGATATGTCATCAACCGTTGATTAAATTAGTTAAGTTGATCAACAAAGCTAAAGAAATGTGGAAGTCTCTGTACATTTCCTTTATGATAATAATACTTATGTACAGCTAAGATTGTATCTGATCATAGTTGGCGACAATAAAATTCACTAGTTAATATTCCTCTCCCTCAGTTTGGCTACTGGGCAGGTCAGCTGGGTGATGGTCGAGCACATTCTCTTGGTCAGTATACAAACAGGTGAGAATATTTTTGCATAAGGTTCCTTGTATATTCAAAGAACTGTATATTTAAGCTGCATTGTTGGTTAATGTTTTAACTTATTTTCCTTATAAAATGCACCACAGGAACGGGGAAGTATGGGAACTGCAGCTCAAAGGCTCTGGGAAAACACCATATTCAAGGTATGTTTATTTTTCTGGCCTTTCTCTTTTTCTTCCTTTTCATTATTTTTTCTTCTTGTTTCACTTTACCACGTTTGGGAAATTTGCATTTTGGTGAAATTAAATGGCAGCAAGAGGCAACTTCTGAAATTTCAATGTGAATTTTAATACAGGTCAGGCGATGGTCGAGCTGTGATCCGCTCCTCTGTAAGGGAGTTCCTGTGCAGTGAAGCCATGCATTTCCTGGGTGTTCCAACCAGCAGGGCTGCCAGGTGAGAGAAAGAGGGGATGGATGAAAGGCAACAAACAGGGTTAGCATATCAGAGGATCTTTTTTTCATTATTAATACGTCTTATTTTTTGTGTTCAGTAATGTATTGATAATATGACTGTTAGCTGGAACATATCGCTTACAGCAGTTACTTAAACCAGACACATCACAAAGTTTGAAAATTGTTAAATTGGTTTTCTCTGTTTCACATAACATGTTTAAAAAAACACGTAGAAGGCCAGTATGTGTATATATATCTCTGGTGCACAACATTATTTGGCATTAAGATTGATAAAGTCAGATGAACTACCTGCTTGAATGGAATTACACAACATGCTTTATTTGCATGTGTAAAAGGGAGAAATGTGAATCTATGAAGGTGCATGTGTTTTCTGGTATTGATCTGACAATGCTTTGCTTTGCTTTAGTCTAATTGTAAGTGACGAGCCGGTGTTGAGGGATCAATTCTACAGTGGCAATGTGAAGACAGAGAGAGGTGCAGTGATTCATTCAAAAAACCTAGATTTCACACACAATCAGTTACATTTATTATTTCATTACATGTTTTAGTTGAGCTTTGTTATATGTTTTTTTTTTTTTTAACCAGGAGCTGTTGTTCTCCGGTTGGCAAAGTCATGGTTTCGGATTGGATCTTTAGAAATTTTGGCTCAAAGTGGAGAGATAGATCTCCTGAGGTGAGTCTAACAACATGCTAATACATCAGTGCTTTCTTCTCGTTCTATTACAGCTTGTTACAAAATGTTGTTGTTCTGTTGATTTTAGAAAGCTGTTGAACTTTGTGATCGGTGAACATTTTGCTTCAGTCGATTCAGATGACCCAGATAAATATTTGGTAAGTTAGTTTAAAAAAAGAAAATGTGGTCATGATTTTTTTGCTCACTGTTACCACTGTTAACATCTATTTTGAGTAATATAGCTCATCCAGGCATACTGTTACTGTGATAATATATAGTAAAGAAACATTGCACGATAGTTATATCTGTGTGCTGTATATAATGTTTCATGCTTTTTATTTTCTTATATTTTAATGTTTCCAGGTGTTTTATTCCACAGTTGTAAATGAAACAGCACACCTGATTGCCCAGTGGATGTCTGTTGGGTTTGCACACGGTGAGAACTCGGTCTGACTGAACATTTTATGACACAGTTTGTGCCAACAACTACTGATATCTGCTGTGTGTCGTCCCAACAGGTGTGTGCAACACAGACAACTTCAGTCTGCTGTCTATCACCATCGATTACGGACCATTTGGCTTCATGGAATCGTATAACCCCAGTGTGTATGATGATGCATGCCGGCATTTCATTACTGTAACTGAATGCCCTGCTCTCATGAAATATCAAACAAAGCTTCAATGTTGCAGATTTTGTCCCCAACACATCTGACGATGAGGGCAGATACAGCGTAGGAGCTCAGGCCAGCATCGGACTGTTCAACCTGGAGAAACTCTTGATGGCCCTCAGTCCGGTGCTTTCTGAAAAACAGCAGAAAGAGTAAGTAAGCGGCACGGAGAGAAATATTCTTTAATAGTTATTAGTTTAAGAAATCAGCCTTCTGAGCGACTGAGTCATATCGGTGCAGAATTGGCGCACAAATTTCTTTCCAGCTCAGAAATTCACTATATTGGCCGCGATGTCAGTATTTGGTGAATTCTTTTCTCTCTAAAATCGTTATTGTATTGGCCAAAAAGATTCCATATCAGTCGTGTTCAAATGATAATTGTTAATATCAAGAATATGTGACTAGTACAGACCTCTGTTTGCCACTAATATAAAGTGCAACAACACTGGCAACCTTTTGCATATTACTAACTTTGATTTAAAGGTAATCTTTGACTGTGCAAAATGATTGGAAGACAAGAGAAGAAGCAACATACAAACTTTCTAAGACAGCATCCTTTTGGACTTACTTGTCTTCTTTTTCTTCCTCAGGGCTAAAATGATTTTAAAAGGATATGTTGATATTTACCAGATGAGGTGAGCTCCGTGTGTTTCTTAATATCCAAGCAGTTATAGAGTTATAGTACTAATATGTTATTTCCTAGCCTTAATCATGCTTGTATTTCAGGATTCATCAGCTATTTAAAGCTAAACTGGGGCTTCTAGGTGAAGAGGAAGAGGATGGCTACCTCATTGCGTTCCTGCTTAAGGCAAGTTAGTAACAATGAGTAAATGTTTACTGGCATAGACGTTTTTACATAGTTCATCTCATTCTGCTGAATCAATTTAATCTCTCTGGCTGTGTAAACATTTTATTTATTTATTTCTTTACACCAAAATCTACTTTGTGTTTGTCCCCCCAGATGATGGAGGACACACAGTCAGACTTCACCATGACATTCAGGCAGCTCAGTGAAGTTTCAGCCCGGCAGCTTCACAACAGCGACTTCACACAGGTGGAGCTGAAGGGGCCAATGTTACATTCCCATTTTTAGATTCTGTTTTGAATTTGGTGACATCTTTAATATCTGTACCGAGCACTCAATGATGTGTTGTATTAGCAGTCCACATCCAAGACATTGTTTGGCAATGAGATATTTTTTTAACTGAAGCAAATGTAAACGTAAAAGAATAAATAAATGGTGACAAAGGTAACAAAAGATACATTTATATCGCTGTGTTTCCACTGAAAGTGGAAGTGGAACTTTTATTCCCAGGAACTAGTTTTCTAGGAACCATAAGGTTTCTTCAGCCCATTGTTGTCCACTAACGAATGAAAAAGCAACAATGCTTTCTGCTGTAACTCCACTGTGATGTGTCGAAGCACAGTCAAATTTTATCAGGCTTATAGTTTAAATAGTGAATCTGTGTTCAGCAAGTATGCAGGTAAAACACATGTAAAATTCTACAACTGCAACTGCAAAAATTCTGCAGAACCAGAGTACTACTACTGTCTATTTTGACCCTTTTATGATTTTTATCTTTTTGCTCTGTTAGATGTGGGCTCTTGAAGACTTGTCGTCCCACAAGCTCTTCTCTGATTGGCTCAGCATGTACCTGCTCCGGCTCAGCAGGTAAGCAAAAAGATGTAATGCCAAGTTAGTTTGGTAACCCAGGTTTCTCTTAAATGTTCACATGATTTCACATTTTCTGTGCTTGAAAACACTTGCTATACTCTCTCATTTCTATTTCAGTTTGTGTCACAGTGTTGTTGTTGTTGTTGTTTGTTGTATTTGGACATTTACAAAGTAATGTTTTTTTCCTCTCTTCAGACAACGAGATGATAGTGATTTAGATCGCCAACACAGGATGAAAAGTAAGCCACTAAATCTACATATTAGTGTTTATTTTGGTTGATTTCAAATTTTATAGCGAGTCATGACATTGTCCCTTAAAACAGCGAATAAGGAGGAATGCACTTACACACACATATATATATTATATATATATTATATATATATTTCTGTAATGTGATGTTTTACCAATATCTTTTAGATGTAAATCCTAGATATGTGCTGCGGAACTGGATGGCAGAGTCTGCTATAGGGAAAGCTGAGATGAACGATTTTTCTGAGGTGAGAATACAATATTTAATTTATTTTAACTGTTTATTATAATGTGCTTTTTCTGTCACAAGTTGTTTGTTTGTAACCTGGTGTTTTTTTTTTATTTTTCCCCACTAGGTGGAGCTGCTGCACCACATCTTGTCCTTTCCCTTTGTTACACAAGAGACTGCAGAGGAGGCGGGTTATGCAGCAAGACCTCCAGTGTGGGCTAAGAGGTTAAAGGTCAGCTGTTCCTCTTGAGTGACTCCTGGATTGAGCAAAGTACTTAAATGAAGAAGAATTACAACCCAGCTGAGCTTTTATGGTACATTGTGGTCATTTATGTCCTGCTGGTGGAATATATTTGGTCCAAAATGTCAAGGTCATGGTTCTTTTCTACTCCTTTCTACCCACTATGTGTGAATACAGTGACCAACAAAAATTGTATATAGCTCTTAGTGTCACAGAAGAATTAAATTCTAATTGTATTTAGCTCATAAAAGTGTACTTTGACTGTTTGACAACTACATACTTCCATTCTTATTGACACCAAAATAAATACAAAGATGCTACTGTGGAGGCTGTCCTTCTACTTTTATACAGATCTAGGTTCATATACAGTATGACTTTTCACCCCATTCACATACAGAACACATAAAGTAAAAGTAAAGTAGATCCAAAGCTTTTTTTCATATTCATAGCGTTCATAGCACTTCTGAGGCTTGATATTGATTATGAGATGATTTCCTGGTGGGTTGTTGCTTTATGATGCCAATGGCAGCAGGTTGTACTTGATGATAGGGAGAAGACCCAATAATTCAATACCAATAAGAAATTCTGTCCAACTCATGCATTTTCTATGCTAACAGGACTTGTAGAGATTTATTTCTAGTTCTATTTAGACAGTCATTTGAAAGCTGGGGCACACAGTAAAATATATGCCCAAGTAACTCCATGCAAACAATATGTACAATTCTATAAAAGTTTATCTTTGAAGTATGATGACAGCAGTATATTTTTTATGTCATACAAAAAATAAAACGCAAAAAAACAGGTCATATATATATAAAGTTTTCTCTACAGTTTAATTATTTTGTCTTAAAAATGATCCGCTCTTAGCGGTCCGTTAGCTCAGTCAGTAGAGCTGGCAACCTATGTACGGCGTTGCTACAGCGGGCCCGGTTTCAAATCCGACCTGCAGCCCTCTGCTGCGTGTCCTCCCCTCTCTCTCTGCCCCCCCCTCCTGTCTATCTTCGTCTGTCACTATCAACAAAGGCAATAAAAGGCCAAAATAAGTTTAAAAAAAAAAACAAACAAACAAAAAAAAAAATAATCACCTCTCACTTGATTCATGCAAGATTATGTTTTGTAAAAGCAGTTTAGGAAAAAAGATGGATAGACCACCGTCTGTTTTCTGGAGGATATGAAGTCTGTACTGATCTCCACTGGCTTCATGTTGGAGACGTTCAATATTGTTGTGGATGTAAAGAGTAGCTGTTTTGCTGAAATCAATACGAGGTTGATTAAGGGTGAAGTTGGTCGTTGTGCAGGCGCACATTATACAATATTTATACTCCACTCCACAGGTGAGGCTAATTATTGCCACGCTTCTTGTTCATGGCCAGCATGAGTTCTGACATGAAGTCTCCACCTCCATCTCCACCTCCTCCATGCTGCGCTGGTGTAGTCCTCTTTGGCGGAGCAGGAGGCATCTTCTTTACTGAGCCAGTGGGCCGCACAGCTGCTGGTCTCGGGGCTGCAGGCTGTAGAGGTGGAGGTGGAGGCGGAGGTGGAGGCGGTGCTCCTCCAGCCCCCGTGAACATTGGCCGAGGTGGAGGTGGTGGTAAAAAGCCTGGATCTGGTGGTGGAGGAGGCAGAGACAGGTCCATACCTCCAAAACTAGCTGGGGGAGGCGGTGGTGGTAGGGAGCTCACTGGCGGTGGCAGTGAACCATAGCCAGCGGCAGGAGGAGGAGGAGGAGGTGGAAGGAAGTCTGGCGGGGCCTCTGAGGCATCATTGATGGGTGGGGGCGGTGGTGGAGGAGGGAGGTTTTCCATTGCAGGTGGAGGTGGAGGGAAGTTGCTTGGAAGGTGTCGCTGGGGGGTGGCAGGTTTTGGGGAACTCTTGGCAGCCAAAGGAGGTGGTAGAGGAGGTAGGACAGGGTCTGGAGGTGGTGGAGGGAGCATATCGGCCATTGGTGGAGGTGGAGGTGGAAGTGGAACATTGTCAAAGTCCTGCGAAGGCAGAATGTAACATAATGATACATAATGTACAAGAGGGGGACACATTTTTATTTATTGATAATGAAAATAATCCTTAGCTTCACCCCTAATGAAGAGATTCCTACCTGAGAAACAGGTCCTGGTTGGGGTTTGGGAGCATGACCATTGGCCTGGCTTGGTGATTTAGCTGGCAGAGAAGGAGAAACCATGAGTGAACATACTGTACAAGCAAAAGGTTTGTACTAATATTACCACATCTGGATTGTTTCAAATCAGTGGAACGCTCAGTAAGAGCAGGTTGTGTGTCGTGCTACCTTTGATGGTGGGTGAGGGCGTTGATGGATTGGAGCTCGATGGAGTGCTGCGGTTCGTCCACACGGAGCTGACGGCAGACTTCTCGGCTGTTTTATAGTTTTCATACAACGACACACCGTACTGGAAGTGCAAGGAACACACCACAGAGCATGAGTTCTGGTCAAATGGAGATTATTTCCTGTTATTAAATGTAGAGCTTTGAGTTTAATTTACCTTTGCGATACGTATGCCGGTTACCCAAAGGTTCATGGTCCAAGCATCATCACAGCATAGGTACTTGATGTACTGGGACTCTTTTTGGATCTGAGGATGCTGTGGTGACAAATCCAAAACAGACCAGGTTAGTAAAAAAGACTACTTAGTTGTTTTTTTTCCTATTATAAATGGATAGTATCAGAAAAATAAAATAAACTCAACTGACGCTGACTCAAGTGACATCACTTGAGGCCATTTACACAACTTTTTTTTTTATGCGTGTAGAAGTACACATCAGGACCTGTAAACAGACTTTGATGTGTAAAATGAGTGGAGTCCCCCTTTAAGGGTACCACATTGGGGCAGAAGGAGCCTAGACTGTTAACAGGGAACACCAGTTAAATGGGAATAGTCCAGTCAGCATTTCAAGACATAAACCGACCAATTAGAAACCAGGAAAATAGTAAAATGTGTGCCACTGAGTGCATCCTGAAACCCAGTGTAATTTAGGAAATATGAGATGTTTTGATGCTTTAATGGTCTTAGTTATTGGATTGGATGTCGGTAAGTACACCATCATACTGATTGCAAAAATATTTGCTGTATATTGAATGGGTTTACCATTAATCCCACAATCAATTGTTTTCCCCTGAGGAAGAAGTTGACTTTCCACAGAATGTCATGGTATCAGTTGTACACAATGAAGATGGTATTAGTGATCACTTCAGGCTTCCACTCTGAATATATTACAGCTAAATCATGAAGCTAAATTGTTTTGCTCTCATATTTGAATTGCTGCAGTGGTTGGCAGCCTAAACACCACCCCACCAATGTGTCAAAACACACCCTAGTTAATCGACAGTCAAAAGCAGCATCAGTTCATACAATCTACCACAACTGAAGCGGCTTTAACACATTTCGCTGCATGATTCTTAAACAAGGACAGATACCATACAAAACCTGGCGAGCCTTCCAACATGTCCACTCTGACAGGCCATTTTCCTTTTGCCCTTGCCTTGCAGTACCTTAAAGTCTCCTTCCTTCAGCTCAAACCTTGAGGACTCTGTCTTTCACTGGTGGTTAATTAAGTTTCTTTGCCTCTCTAAGCTCTTTTTACTTTGATCCTCAACGACTAGTGTAATGATATCTGCTGATTCTAGTATTTCCCAGACAAGATAGGGGAAAGGAAAGAACGCAAACTTTCACATCCCTTTAAGACTGACCACCAACCCATCTAATTCTTGCTTTTTATCACCTAAGTCAGCATTTCTTGCTCTTAAATGAGTACTGTAGGTACCTCCCATTACTGTTAATATTCTCAATTTCAAAGTACTCTCTTAATTAAATGCATGGTGAAGAAACATTAAAAACTGTCTGAAAAGTCATCTTGTTCACTTATTCACCACTTTCAGCTAAACTGGATAAACCTTCTCCTTTCACTTCTTGAAATTAAACTATTTATTGCATTTTACATTTCCAGTAAAGCAAGCAGCTGTATAGCACAGAAGGCACTCACAAACCCCCAAGCAACCACCAACTCTGCATCTCTTGCACTATGCAATGTAATGTGTGGTGTATGCCTCTTAACACCAACTAGTAAAACAGGCTCTGTTAAAAATATTTTCTGTAGCACATTTAGGGGAAGTTGCAGCTTCTCTGTTGATCAATTCCATTGTAAAAGGGTGTGTGAGGCAAACTAGATTGACCAAACAACACATTGTAAGCTAACTTACCTTTAGAACAAAGCAGAAGTCTGTTGGGGCCTTGTATTTGCTCTTAAAGTCTTTGCCATAGTAGACATTTAAATTGTCAAACTGGACAAAGCAGACAAGGTCACGGGACGACTGAAAAGAAATAAGGGATTATATTAGTTGATAGTTGATCTGTAGTGCCATTTATCTTACGTGCAATAGTAGAGGCATTATGCCTTGTATGAATGGTATGTTTGGGAGTAAGACCTCCTGTAAGATATACAGTAGGGGAATATACTTTAGGTATTCAGCAGGGAGTAAAAGTAGGAGTAGTTACATTCAGTGTTGCATGAAACAAGAGTGCGGTTCATAAAGCAGAAGCACTACACACTAGGGCTTTGTATTGCCAGTGAAAAATGAAAAAAATCAACTATATATTTCTAAAGGTTTCAGACATTAGATTTCAGCATCTGTAACTGCTGGATTTTGATCCTTCACCACTGCTGTTCGACCTGTTAAAGCCCAACTGATTGTATCCTTGATTAGAGCATTAGCTGTTGGATTTGTGTTTATAGTCTGGTCTTTTCCCACAAAACGATGTCCCCTTGTGACCCCTGACCTTGGTCTTCCCTTTGGGTACGTAATAAATTCCCGAGGCCCTCAGCTGGAAGAGCCGCTGTTTCCAGGACTTCTTGCCGTCTTCTTTGAGGTACAGCACCGCCTCGAGATCAGGCACGATGATGGAAGTCCCGCAGAAGTTCTCCTGCAGAGGTGAAGAAGGGATGAAAGGGGTCACTGAGAGGAGCTCCCACTGGGAAAAACTGTTTCTAAAGAAAATATTTTACTAATGTTTTGTGTGTGTGAATATTTTACCTGTATTAATAACTCCTTGTCTTTCTCTTTTATTTCTTTGAGAGCTCTCTTATCCTTCTTCCATAGATAAAAGTTCTGCAGGAATTAGAAAATAAAGTGCATTCATTAATAATGTAAGATCACAATGCAGCAATTTACCAGTATATTCGCAATTTTTTTCAACGGTCTGACTTTGGTGATCTCCTGATTATTCCTCTAACACTACCATGTGGTTGACCTTTGTGGTTTCAAGTGAAATGTCTCAACAAATATAAGATGAGATGAGATTTCCACAACATTTTATGGATTTTGGACATTAATTTGTTCAATACTTTATGACAAAATATCTACAAGACTAATGGCATTCCCATCAGCCTCTGATTTACTTTGCGTTTAGCACAAGTTAGCAAATGCTAACATGCTGACACGTCAAACTAAGATAGTGAACACATCAGGATGTTTGCATTATTTTGAACATGTTCGCATATATGTATGAAGTTTTTTTCTTCTGTCTGGTCAAGGGTATAACACTAAATTAACCTTTTTAACCCTTAATTCTTCAGACATATTCAAATGCATTAAATATCAGAACAAAACATTGGTTATCAGCATCCTGAGCAGAAAAAAAGGAATCATTATCAGCTTTTCAATGCTTGAACCCTGCACTTTGTCCCCGTGTGACTGAGTTAGTTCATATTATAGTCTGGGCCGATGTTTTCATTGCGGTGAGAGAAAGCCCAAAGGGGAATTCTATTTTGGTAGCTCTTGTCAAAAGTTAAAACTGTAAATTGATCAGGACGTACTGTATAAAACAGATCTGTCTTTTGTTGGGGGAAGTGGAAGACATGATGGAGCAGTTTAAAAATGAGAATATCTCACCGGTTTTTTCCAGCCTGGCTATTTGTCTCTGCCAACAGACCGAATCCATTAAACACTCAGAGATTATAAAGGGTTCCCATTATATCAACAAACATGCCAAGATCTCGATGTCTTTTGCCTGAAGCTGTTTTGTCTGATATATTACAGTGAGGACATAAATGTAAGAGGTCATCCTACATGGAGGAAAGAAATCTCATAATTCAATGATTCAACGGTGAAAATAGCCAGATTGCGCTGAGCTGAAACAATGTGGAGATAGATTTGCACAAATCAAGGCCAAAAATAACAAACTAGCCGCTGTTGGACTTTTGAGATATCACCTCACCTCTGATCACTCAGTAGCTACATGTTTAGAGAAGAATATAAAGGTGTATAGAACGAGGGGACCAACCTGTGGGTTTTTGAAAACCTCATTCTTTTCCCCCCGCTCTTGAAAGAGGATTTTGTTCTCGCTGTCTCTCGTCCATGCTAAGAGAGGATCCACAAGGTTCTCGTGGTCTTCAAACGTGCGTTCTGTCAGAAGAAAAGCAAACTTAGACGTCAGCACACTAGTATTGGTAGTATTCTTTAATCATGAAGAATGACCCTTTTCAAGTATTAAATTGTCTATAGCTGAAGTTGTGTACTTGTGAACCATGCTAGTCTCACTTTTACTGAGAGATGATGAACATAGAATATCACTTCTTAGTACAATATTTCGAGCACTAAAAGAGGACCAATGGCATAGTAAAAAGTCTTATAGAGTGGAAAGTACCTCTATTTTTTACTTAAATACAGCTGCTTACTTTCCACCTCAGCAGTAGACACTTTTTTAATTTCTCAGCACATTCAAACACTACTGACAGTACTCTGGCTTTGGAAGATTAAAAATGTCTCCAGTTTACTTTCACACACTGAGTCTAAAGTACAATATTATTTAAACCAGAACCTACAGTCTTTAATCTTCGCTTTATACTCTCCGTGTTCCCTCCGTTTTTAACTTTGTACCATAAAACATGTCAAAACAAATGCTTTACCATATGTACAGTAGTTCACTCTGTCACGTAATCTCTAAATCAGCTGAGCTCCATTCAAAGTCAATTTCACAGCTGTACCATTGTCTATTTCAAGTGGGATGAATTAAGGCAGGGCTCAATAAAATACAAGCCTCCCTATTTTCTGCAAGGACTTTAAATGGCACTAAACCTCGAAAACACATTAAGGGCAGTTTCCACCTCCTTCTCCTCCTCCTCCTCCTCTCTGCCCACCCACACACTCAGTGCCATAGATCTCCATCATGTACTGGGCATTTGACTGTAGTTTAGCCATAGTCCCCAATTACAGGATACGAGCCGAGGTGGAGGTAGGCATTAAATAAATTGCTGCCAGGGTTCCCGTCCATAGTTTGACTATTACAATCATTAAATGGATGGTGTGACTTTGCTGCTAGAGTGAGTTATTAGGAGTGAAAAACCCTTTGAACTGGATTAAGCACATGGTGTGTTTCGGTGGTACGCATGGTGAGCACATGGGTCAATTTTGTTTGAAGATGCTGTTGCTGTTGAGCTCTGTGGGCGTTTATTGGGCATGACTTGCCTTGACTTTTTGTTGATAAAGATTAAAGGCTGGCAAAAGTGTATCGTAGTTAGAGCGAAACACACTATGGGTGTTTACAGGCATTTCAGGAAGAACTTGGCGTCAAGCTCATACCGCCTAGTTAGTCAAGAGATGACACAAGACCCTGTCCACACCCATGCACATGAGTCAAAACATAAGATGATATGCATGTGCTTTAAATAGCAATCTGTGTGTCAGCTTCTTTATACATGGGCTATCATTTGGTCAAAAATAAAACTGTTTCCCTTTGGTCAACACAATGTTTCCTCATTTGTTTGGTCCCGTGAGCATACCATCATACCATCAGATGCAAAGAGAGGCATGTAAAATAAATCCTGAGAGTGAATTCTTCTTTGTAAAAGAGTACTGATTGTACTTGTAAGGCTGACATGAAATATATCAGGGGGTTTCAAGTCTTACATATTCAGCCCTATCCATAAGAAAACAAACAAACAAAAAAAAACCCTGCTTCATGTTTTTGTTTTTGAGTTACTGGAAGAAGTTGTTATCATTTCTCAGCCACACTTCCAAAAGGTTACTGTCAATGTTCTCTGTGACAAAGTCTGGAGAGATTTTATATTTTTCGTATTGCCAACAAATTCCATGTGTATCTGGGTAATCTCTGTATCCAAAGCCCGATACATATTATTCCTCTGTGCACTACTGTTGTCCAAAAACGATTAAAAACACATTAATGAGTCATATTGTTCCTTTATTACAGTGAACATGGGCACTGCAGTTTTTTGTGAGTCAATTCCACAAACATAATTCTGCTGTTGTAGATACTTACATGCCAAATATGTATTAATAATAGTTAAATAGAATAAAAAACAGTCCCCAATAAAATATTATATATATATATATATTCAGTAGGATAAACCACAGACAGGGTGGGGAAGTCTTGCAAAGTTAACACATGTTCTTGGTTTTGGATTTCTAGTGGAATTAGTCGAAAATAAGAAAAATATGGAATAACTCCAAGGCTTATCCTTTAATTTAGTGTTTCACGGCTTAATTAGTGGCATATAAAATTACTTGAGTATAATTTTCAAGCAAAATAATATTAACTTAGACTGTATTGCTCACAGAAGTTAATGACTTTACCACCAGTAAAGTTATTAAAACAGTTTCAGGAGACTGTAAAATGACTTCCTATTCATGATACATAAGATTGGCTCTATGAAAATATGAATTATCTCCATAACAATCTGATGAAGTTATTAGAAAACAGAGAAAACAGGTGGTAATGACAATCTGTGAGTCCAGCAGCTGAAGTAAATATAGCACAGACAGCTCAGACGGAGGATTGAGATCATAAGGCTTCTATTTCCGCATGACAGGGAGGATGACTGACAGTGTCCGATACAGCAAATTAAACCCACCTGCCTACACTGTATGTGTGTGTGTGTGTAAGAGAGTGGGGGACAGTGCGAGTATACGAAAGAGAGGAGGAGGGAGAGAGAGACGGATGGGAGTAAGATCAATGTTTCATTGTGAGCTCGCTGCAGTGTGGCTGCCATCGTGCCAATAAAAACACAGTCCATCATCTGGACCTGAATGAAATATCCCACCCTGCACATTATGTGTCGTTTGTTGACAATTCATTTAAAAACACACTGAAGACCGATGCTGTTAAAGTGGGAGTCTACATTACCACTGCACTGTGTTGTTCTGGTTCTGCTGATGTATTTGCAGCGCAGCTCGCACCTATTTCTGTTGTGTTTCTACACTAAATTTACCAGAAATCTGTCTTTTCTGTTAGTTAGGGTTAGGACATTGTGGTTGTTTTGCTTATTCTAGCATCCCAGATCTTTTATTTTTTTCCACTGAAAATGTGTACCCAAGAATTTTTAATTTCCCCTTGAAAACCCTTAACCTGTCACAAGGTGTTTAAAGCAGCAAATCTCTCATGAAAAGATCACAGATTGAATGACTGTGGAGCTATATCAACTAATGACAACACATTAAATGCAATGATTGTTGTTGAGGGATTAATCATTGATCATAAACGCTCCTCAGTCTGTCACAATCTTTCCAAACTCTGTATATGTCATTCGGAGACATTAATTTCTCTCCATAGCTATGCTGATGACACACAGTTTTATGTTGTTGAAGGTTGCACCCTTCCTGCGACAGAAGAACTATAGATGCTATTGTTAGATGTATAGATATGTGCCTGGAAGTTACAAAACCTTTATTTGCTCACATAGATAAAATATTAGATTGTATGGCTCAGGGAGAGAAACTGGCCTGAACCAATAGGCAAGAAACTTGAGAGTCTTCTTTAACTTTAATGTCACCAAATCAACCTTTCATCATCTGAAAACCATAGGTTTAGTGCAACCATTTCTCACTCTGTGGGATAAAGAGAGACTAATGCATGCTTTTTATATCCAGCAGGCTAGACTATTGCACTGTTCCCCTTTCTGGTCTACCCAAAAAAGTAATAAATCTGGAACAGTTTTCTGCCCAAGTGCTGACAAGGACCAGAGAGAGGCAAGATATAATTTTTTATTCTCTATGTTTTGAAATGTATATACTGTCTTTTATTGTTGGATATTGTTTATTTTTAATGTCTTTTATCTCTTCTGTTGGTTTTATCATTTCAGTTTCCTCAGTCACTATTTTTTGAGTGCATTAGTCTTAAATTGTTTTACTGTTAATATTTCTCTTGTTATTAGCTTGTTAATCATCTATTAGCTGCTTTCAGTTGCCGATTGCAGTCATAGCACCGTGTAGAATCAATCACATTAACTCACCGAGCTGCAGTTCAGGGTTGGTCTCACACAGGCTCCAGTCCACATTGCAGTCACAGTGAGTCTTCTCAAACAGGTTCTCCAGAACCTCCCTGACGTTCTGCCTCTCGTCGACCATCAGGGTTTTGGAGCTGCCGTCATTTAACAGCACCTTCACCACCAACTGTCAAAAAAGAAGAAAAGAAGTACATTTTTATTTTATTGTGTGTTACTTTTGCTGGAAATTCCTGCTGAGAGTTAGAAGAGAAGATCAATACCACTCATATCTGTACACTAAATATGAAGCTGCAGGTAGCAGCCGATTAGCTCAGCAAAGTAAGGACTAAACACAGAACATATCACCCCTAAAGCCATAAGAAAGTTTCATTTTTAGTTTTTGTAAAGATTAGGCAAATGAGATATAACATTCATAACATTATCACAGCAAAATGTCAATGAGCAAGTGTTTTTTGGTTCTAACATGAGCTTTTGTGTGTCATCTGCATGACAGATGACACAAAACATGTTGTGGACAGCAGAAGGTGTCTCTGAAGTGTGACATCAAATCAAGCCTTGAAGCACATGTTTGCCACTTTAATTACAGGCTATGTGCAGTAAATGGCTGTTTCTGTTTCCTAATGTTAGTATTACTAGAAGAGTTGGAGCATCAGCACTTCTGTCTCTCCATTCTGTTGAACTTCTTTAGCTTGTTAGACCAATTTCTATTGGTCTCTTTTTGGCTGAGGCAAAAGTTGTCTGAGATTAATTTTTCTCTGGAGCGGAGCAGTGCTTTCCTCACAGGCTCATATGGCTTCACACTTCCTCTCATATGAAACAAATCCAGCTTTGGGAAGCTGAGGAGTTTCACAGGGCCAAGGTCAGCCAGTTGCTTGCCTTGTGTCATAAAAATGTGGGTTTCGGAGATGTTATCGCAAGAGGATTTAGAGTGTTAGATCACATGTTACTTGGTCTCGACCTGCCCTGGAAAGCAATATGGTATGTGGTTGTATGAGATGTCACTGTATCAAACAATTTTTCCTCTTACAGTACTACCACATGCAAGTTAGGTGTCTTCAAAATATATGATCTGTGTCGAAAGCATGCCCTGGAAGCAGTGGGTTCATCTGAAACTTAAAGGCCTTCAGTGGTTCCTGCTGAAAACCACTGAGAGTACACCTTGCTATTTTGTATTTAACAACCATGGGACCTGTGTTCCTGTGGCCAGTGGTCTGTTTCCTTATATCCACTCACACACATGGCTGGCTCCTTTAGATTTTATACAACTTTTAGAAACAACATCAGGGAAACAGGCCATTAGTGCTGTCATAAGTTATAATACTTCTCAGTAAGTGTGGAACTTGGCATTTATATCATCAATCACATCACCTATGATAAAAAGATAGTATGCAATTGGCATGAAACTGGTTTAGTTGTGTATAAAATTGAAGATCCTGATGTGAAGCTTTGCATGCAAGACTGCATGTCTGTGCTTTTGTTGACTGCTTTGAAGATGATAAAGTGTCCACATATCACCCAAAGAGGAAATCGTGCTGTCCTGCGGGATGTTGGCTGGATGAGAGTGGCCATTCATTACTGTGATTGATGGCTCTTCCACAGGAAAAGTAAGAGCCATACAATGTTTGAACATTACGTCTTTTATAGTGATGTCCATGTAGCCGTAATTCACAATGTCTTTATAGTTTACTGCTGCCAGCGGATGTAAGATCAGAGGAATACACTTGAATGTTTGGTCGTCTTACCTTTTTCACTTTTGCTTCCTTGAGCTTCTCAAGAGCCAGCTTTATTTTGTCAGCTTTCATCTGCGCCTCAATTTCCTCCTAAATAGGAAAAATAATAATATATGATTATTATAGTGAATTATAAATCTTCATCCACCGTTATACTCTAGTATACAAAAAGTGGTATACATACTATCATAGCGTCATTAATCAGCTCAGTAATTAATTATCTATATCTCATTTGTTTAATCCATACAAAAACCACAGCATAAAAATGACGGGCAGTTCATTTCTTGGCCAATAGCAGTAAGGTTCTGGGGAAGTCCAGGAAGTCACCGCACCCCGACCAAGAAAAAGTCCGGCACATAACCATCCATAGAACCACTACTTATCATTTGCATACTTTGATTTTTCTATGGATTAAACATGTTTACTATAGTGAGTTTTAGAGCTGCTGGTAGGCGGATATAGTTACCTTTGAACAGAGCCAGGTTAGCTGTTTCCCCTGGTTTCCAGCCTTTATGCTAAGCTAAAATAAGATAACCTGTGGCTGGCTGTAGCTTCATATTTACCGTACATGTATCTGTCAAGGTATCAATCTTATCATCTAGCTGTCAAAATGCTGACCTGTCGCTTAAACATGGTGCTAAAGATAAATGAGATGTAAAGATCTAGCCGCGTTAATCTCTGTGGATGTAGCACTTTAGTTGTAGCATTTAATTTTGATTTAATAACTGGAGTGTCTGATGAAGAATTTAATTTGGGACATTACATCTAATCTACTGGATCTCAATTAACAGGGATAAGATACCCTTTTCTTTGGCTTATAAATCAGTGCAGTTTTAATGAACTTGTACACCTCTACCTAACAATGACACATTCTCTGCCTCAGCACAGCTGGTGTTTTTACCTCAGAAGGATGAGGTAACAAGCCCTGCTAAAGCAATAAGCTCCTGTCTGGCTTCGCCTCCCCCCCCCCACCACTGCCACATCTTACCTCCCCTTCTCCAACCTTTGGTATTGATCCTGTTACTCTTTCCTGCCTCATGGCTGTATGGGTTTGATCTGTTCCAGACAGACTCTCTGCTGTTTCGCCTCACGAGTCTCTGTAACTGTAACAGATGCCTCCGTCCAGCAACAGCTTCACCATGATCTCACCTTCCTAACTGTTATAGGAGAATACCACTCTTCCCAGTTGCACAAAGACAAAAAGGACTCACCAGAAATTTATATGCTGGGAACTGGTGATGTTTTTGTTGTAATACTGTCTTGTCACGCATGGCTCAGAAAGCTCTTTCTCGTGGTAAACCAAGACACGCCACCAATAAAACAGAGATTGTGACATTATTGTTTCCTTTTGCTTCATGTTCCTGCTCTTGCATATAATATTTTAAGACTCTAAAAGTGCACAGAAATGTTCTATCCATTACTTTGGAAGTTTCTACAATAACTTACACTGTACCAACCAAAATGAACTCTCTATTACTTTGAAAAGCCTTGATTAAAACTCTCACTTCTTCACTTTTGGACCAGTTCCCAGTAGAGGGGTTAAAATATACTTGCAGAAATGCTTATCTTTTCTTAAACACTGACTCACCTTTGAAGGCTTTGAGGACTGAGGAGGCGGAGGTGGTAAAGGAGAGGCGGTGGAGGAGGCCGGGGTGCTAACATTGCTGCTGGTGCCTCTCGCGGGTGATGTTGGGGAAGCGAGGGAGGAGGCAGGTTGTATGCTCAGGCCCTTAGGTGGTGGCGGTAGGTCTGATGGGGGCGGTGATGGCACCTTCAAGCCTTCTATTTCTGCTGCAAGTTTCTCTTCCGTCGCATTGAGGTCAGCCACCAAATCAGCCATGAGTGCATCCAAATCATTGTCTTCCAGTTCATGGAGGTTCGCTGGTGTTTGAAGAAAGTTAGTTTATCTGTCAAGAATTGACTCAGGTATAGCATTAATGTAAAAGAGTGCTAAAAACTTTTTGAAGGCGGTAAAAATCTGAGGTGTTAACTTTGTTTTAAAATGTTTGATCACTTGGCACACACTTTTTAAAAATTTTGTCACTCAGAAAATGCCTTAGTTCCTTTTTCGAAATGACATGTGCTTTCCCCCTACATATTAAGAACTTTCATTTCTTACAAGTTCCTTTCTTTGTGTTTTTATTACACAATACAAACCAAACTAAACGAAATAATTTCTTTCATTTGCTTCCTCGTTCATCTTTCTTTGTCTCCCATGAGAATTAAAGGCTGATGATAGGCTGGTCTCAAGCATTATTTAACCATTAATTAACCATTTATAACACTCATTTAACAACTGTTGTTGTTGTATAGACTGTTGCTGTGCATCTTTGTCTCTCTCTCTTGTCTCTTTCCATTTTCTGCTCAGGATTCATTATGATTGGTGATTTCTTAACTTTTCACCTAGTGCTGTCAAAGCTGTACCCTCGGTTAACTGCTAATTAGCAAATGTTAGCCTGCTTACATGCTATTCTAAAATGGTATACATGATAAACAGTAGCTGCTGAACATTGGCATGTTTGCATTGTCATCAGGCACATAGCTTGCTGAGGTTAGCATTGAGCTCATTATGTGGAAGGCTAGGTTTGTCTTTGTAAAGTAAAATATTGTAATTTAAGTTAAAAATTAAATACAAATTAAGTGAAGTAGCCTAGGCCTACATAATTAAATATCTACTAAAGACAAAAGGGAAAAGGAGACTTAAAGTAGTCCTAATAACAACAGATGCTGTAACCTTGCTTTAACATTAACCTGCTTGTTTTACAGCTCACAAGAGCCAGAGTAATTAGCACATACAGTGACCTCAATCTCTGTCTGAAATCAACTCTTGAACAGTAGCCAGATATACTGCAGGGCAACTGAATAATGTTTTACATTACTACCAGCTCTCAAAGCTATCTTGATAATTTTCTAGATAATCGATGAAACACGCAATATATCCTGCCCTTGCACAATTGCAGTGTTGTAGTAAGTCACGGTACACGTTCAACACCCGGCTCTCTGTAGTGTTTCTACACACAAGACAAACTGTTAAATCACCATTCAGGTCGCCGAAGCCAATGGGGAAGTTGACTTCTGTGTCGGTGCTGGGGAGAGATGCAGGAGGTACTGTTTCCTGACCGAGACTCTGCAGGCGAGAATAAACAAGGCAGTGTGTTTGTAAGAGCATGAATACAATATCTGTACAACCACAAGACCACCAGAGGCTCAGTGAGTTAATCCACAACACATTCTGAGAGCACTGAAACATAAACTGTCCCCAAACATTATGTAGGAGAGTATAATATTTACACGTATAGAGTTACATCTGTTTTTAGGTATTACCACCTAACAGGGCTTCTATAGCCCCTTGGTGAGACGGAAGTGTCTTAAAATGACTGGTGGGTGCGAAAACAACATCAAAGTGATCAGCAGGGCTTTTCACTGAGAAAAAAATGCGTAATCTCTAGTTGGCTTATGAGTTTGCCATTTGACCTCCCCTCTAAAAGAGAGTGTAATTTATGGTTCTTAGATGACCACAAAGAGTGTTTCCCCCCGCTGCGTCTGTTGTGCTTGCCAGTGTAGAGTGTCTCGGTGATCGATGGTGGGTTTTAGTGAGTTTGTCATCTGTCTCTAAAGAAGAAAAGTCTATTTAAGGTATACGGTGAGAGAATTAACCACAGGCAGACTGGAGGGAATGTGTTGTGTTTAGTATGTGTTGCATGAAAGGTGTGTGCAGTCTCTTACATTTCTATGGTACAATTAAAAAAAACAACCTTTCCTGTAAAGTGTTTTATTTTATGTATGCCTTAAATAATAATAAAATTACCTAAATTGTAGACAAAAGCATTTGAAAAAATGGCTTACTTATTACAAATACAATTTTATTGGCCTATAAAAATAAGTGACACCAAATAGTGAATGTTAATGTTGCTCCATAGTGCAGCTCTAGTCTATTATTATCCATTCACCTTTAATTTGTCAATTTTTTAACTATTCTTTTCCTTTTGCTGTTTCTTTGTGTGTTTGTTTTTGCCTGCTTTTTGTGAGTTTATATTTGAGAAAACTGTGAGTTTATATTTGCAAAATGCAAAAAAGGTTGAAAAGGAATAAATAAACTTAATGATAATAATAGCAAATACAGTTTCAAGTCATAGTTGCCATGACAACTGCCTTAACTCACCTGAGTGAGGAGGTCCATCTCCCCCAGCAGGTCACTGAACATGGCGTCAATGTCGTCCATCTGTTTAAATTAGAAAGAAGTGTCAGACCCCAAAATGACTTAAAAATCTGACAAACACTGTCCACTGTTGGGGAACCCTGTGTATCAATGACCTGTATTGATTGGTGCTGCAAGGAAGCAAAGAATGTTCATTGATTAGATGCAGTTGTTGTGATGAATGACAGTGAAGAAATGTGTGGAATGAAAGTCAATCTGCATGGAGAAACAAATGCATGTTACACAGCCAGTGTGGTTAGACAAGTACTGCTACTTTACTCTGTGTGCAATTATTATATGTGCCCCGAGGCTTCCCTATCTCACAAAACATCTCCAACCCAGACTGAAGGAGGAAAAGTATGTATGCATAACTCGCAGGCATTTATTTTTCACCAGAACTCGTTGTGTCTTGTTGCACATGCTAAACCTTTCTGTCAGACTCAAATGAAAAAAATACTTTTAAATTGACTGACCATCATGTGTTTTTATAGTGTTTCTTTCACTGGACAAATTCTGACATGTTTATAAATGCAGTCTTCCTTTTTCTGAACCCCTTCACTGACACTGAATGGAACAGTTCTACTCACAGCACTAGTGCACAGTCCTATAATGTGATTAAAGACCATTACGTGTTGAATCATGCGCTCACATTTCATGATTACAATGAACAAAGTTTGTTCCATCATTATGCATGGCAATACCAATTCATTTCAAAGACAGTACGCTAACAAAATAAGATTAGATAATTTCATGACCACAAAAATGTATCTCTGAAACAGGCTCAGTAAAGACGAAAAAAGAACTGACAGAAACTATGCATGCTCGTATACTGTGGTCTCTGCTACATTTATATAGTTTAACCCAGGCATAGATGAATGGAATGAAATATCACAACGTCTTAAGTAGCAAAATAGCCCATGTAACGACTGGGGTAGCTCTGTTTTCCCAGAAAACAGCTCCTGAAGATTCACTTGAGATTTTCCAACTGCAATTGTGTACGATGTGCTGTCTCTCACACATGTATTATTTGAATCCCAATTTCTCAAAGAAAATGTTATGTTGGGCTAGAATGTGCAGTCAAAACAGAGTCCCTGTTTTCTTACAGTGGAACATGAACAGTAGTGAGATGGTGTCAGACAGAGTTCATTCAGTTACAGTACATTAGTTGTTAGAGGGGGTTTTCAGTTTACTAATTCTAGAAATATAATGTTCTGTATTTTAACTACTGTACAGCTCCAATGCATGTTGATAGTCAAGCGTGCACTTAATAACTGAGGAAGTAAGGATATAATATTCTGATTAAACACATTTCACCCGAAAGTATGGCTGCTGTAACTGCTGAACCAGTCAATTGTGGGCAATGTGATGAGCCCCCATAACCACTATAATAGCCTTACTAGTGTTTGAAAGTTCCACCTTCTGCCTCTGGTTCTGTGGCTAAAAAGTAATTGTGGATAAGAAATAAAAAATGTTTTAATTACAATGAGGAATGTAGGCTAAACCAGACTTTAATTTTGCCTCCTTACTTTTTTATTTTATGATGGCAATTTTGGTCCACAGTGAAATATCTCAACAACAAGTTTTTGAACAGATATTTATGATTGCCAGAAGACTTTTGCTGATCCTCTAAACTTTCCTTTTGCGCCTCCATGAAGTGAAATTTCTCTCCTATCCAACGTTTACCTGATGGATTGGGATGAAAATTTGCACAGACATTTATGGTTCCCAGATGATGTATCCTAATGACTGTGATCTCTGACCTTCCATCTACTGCCAATCATCAGGTCAAAAGTATAATTTGTCCAATACTTATGACCAGTAAATGTTCAGCCTCAGCTTTACTTTGTGTCTTGTGTCTTGTCCAGTTGTGGTTCGGGAGGCAGACACCCTCACCACATTCAAGAGTAGGCTTAAGACATTCCTCTTTGATAAAGCTTATAGTTAGGGCTGGATCAGGTGAGTCCTGAACCATCCCTTAGTTATGCTGCTATAGGCCTAGACTATCGGGGGATTTCCCATGGTGCACTAAGCTCCTCCCTTCCTCTCTCTTTCTGCACTCATTCATGTCCCATTTATGCATGTTACTAACTTCACTTCTTCCCCGGAGTTCTTGTGCCTTCTCGTCTCGCAGGTTCTTATCGATCCTGGTGGAGCCTCCTGCCATGGTCCTGCTAGATTGCCATTACCAATACTGTTGTTGCTGTGCACCTGTCTGTCTGTCTGTCTCTCTCTCTCTCTCTCTCTCTCTCTCTGTCTCTCTCTCTCTCTCTCTCTCTCTCTCTCTCTCTCTCTCTCACCCCAACTGGTCGAGACAGACAATCACCCACCTAGAGCCGAAGGATCTGTCCTAGGTTTCTGCCTTTTAACAGGCAGTTTTTCCTTGCTCTTGTCGCCAAGTGCTTGCTCATGGTGGTACTGTTGGGTCTCTGTAAATAATGTTTTAAAGAGTTCGGTCTACACCTGCTCTATTTGAAAAGTGTCCTAAGATAACTTCTGTTATGAATTGGCGCTATACAAATACAATTGAACTGAATTGAATTGAACATGCCAAACTAAGGTGACCATGAAAAAACACTACCTGCTAAACATCACTCTGTTAGCATTGTAATTAGGAATATGTTGGCATGCTGATGGTAGCATTTGGCTCAAAGCACCACTGTGCCTCAGTACAGCCCTATAGCATGGCTGTAGATGCTCTGTAGAGTTACATTATGTTAAAATCTTTAAATATTTAATATATTATGAGGCACAAAGATGTAAGAACTGGCCTGCTAACCTAGGATAGAACCTTGTGTAGCTGCAAAGCTGCAAGGTTGGGTTGTGGTGTAATGATTAAACCAGGTTGTGTTTAACCATGACTAGAAGAGAGACTATTTGAAGTTGAATGGGGGGGCTCAACATTCGGAGTAGCAATGGTCATGTAAAGGTTTGGTGAGGTTAAAGTTACAGTAACAATATATGGGGCTATGACTTCTGCACACCTCAATCAGACCTTACAGTGTCTACACTACACACAGAGGCCTCTCTGATGTTAGCCACTACTCGAACAAAAAAGTTTTTCATTTACATTACAGGCATTAAACAGAGAGGGTGAGTGTAGCTTTGGTCAGACCCTAAGTTTGTAGTCACTTCCACAGAGTGATGATTGGATTCCTATCTTAATCAAATGGCAAAGTAAGTATTACTTTTAAAAAGGTTGTCTGTTGCTTCAGTGACACTTTTTTCACCTTATAAGTGTGACATTACAAATAAAACAAAAAGAGGAACCACAGGGAGGGTGTGACAAAAATAACAGTAAGAATAGCCAATGGGTGGTACTTAAAGGACTAGTTTGGCATCTTGATAGATATGTATATTTGCTTTGTTGAGAGTTAGATGAGAAGATTGATACCACTCTCACGCCTCTTTGTTAAATATAAAGCTACAGCCAGCAGCAGATTAGCTTAGCATAAAGACTTGAAACACAGAGAAACAGTTGGCCTAGCTCTGTTTAAAGGTAAGAAACCTTCAGTTTTGTACAGACTAAACTAACGTGATATAATGGGATAGATATGGTTATGTAAAAGTTTAGTGTGAGTGTTTTTCCTAAGGTAGGTATGGTAAATTAAATATGAAAATGTTGTCTGTAACAAAGTGTAACTACTTTCACTTATCACAGATTGGGATCTGTTTAGTGAACTCTCACACTCTGGGGAAACCCTTTGTCACACTTTGGAGGAGACAAAAGTGATTGATTGTGTTCCAGGCAAGAGTTCATAGTACTGTGACATCATGTTTCAAATTCAAACATGAAATGGATGAAGATTGTACCAACATCTAACAGATGACGCGTTAAAGCCGCTGAGAAGCAGTGTGATGGTAAATTATCAATCAATTATTTCCATGTGACGTGTATATCTGGGTCTTTCTAAATGTTGTAGCATTTGGGCCCACTCCTCCACGCTTTTACACAAATGTGCCTAGGAAGTGGTACAGTGTAATTTCCTGGAACTTGCAATGCCGAAATCGTATAGGAAATGGTGACACGCACAGCCACCTGCAAACTAACGCTACTGTTTCCTCCTCCCACATTATGTTTACGTATGTATTACTCTACACACTGGCTAAACAAAACATAAAGTTAAGAAACTAAGTTGATATGAAACACAAAAGCACATGTTCTTATTATTAAAGAATATATATTATTTCCACTCCTTAATTATTTGAATTTCCTCTTCTCCCCGTTGTAAAATGGTATCACATTTTATTTAGTGTTATGACAACCACAGCACAACAGATCTCCCTGTAACAGCCACAGTATGATTTGGACCCACGCCAGATCTTTCGCTCACTAACAACCACACAGAACACGTGAGCGGCCGATGCCACCATGTGTATTTTTACAAAAGTCACACAAGGAAACAGTTTGTGTCAGTCAGGTTGCTCCCGGCAGCTACTTTTGGAGACCAAATGCATTAAATGGAGTGCTCCCAACTCAAAAATCGGGCTTCTGCTGATGGAGGCAAAATATAGTCACGTCTTCCACACACTGATGATTGAATTCATATCATAATAAAATGGCAAAGTGAACCTAAGGTAATATTACACCTTTTTTTCATTCAGCTGCTTTATAGGTGTGACATTACAAATATAACACTGAGAGGAACCACAGAAAATGGGTTAACCTTAAACTGGTGTCATTACAGTTGTTTAAATTACTGTCAGTATAGCCTATGGACATACTTAAAGGACTAGTTTGATATTTTGGGAAATACATATATTCACTTTGCTGGGACTTAGATGAGAAGATTGATACCACTCTCATGTCTCTCGTGTTAAATATAAAGCTACAGCCAGCCGCAGATTAGCTTAGCTCTGTCTGATGGTAACAAATTCCACCTTCAGTTTGTATACAGAATAAACTATTCAGCTTAAGATGCACTGAAACTGTAAGTGGATGTTTTCCCCTTGGTTTTCAGTTTGTATGCTAAGCTAGGCTAAGTGTCTCCTGGCTCCAGCTTTATATTTATAGGACAGAAATGAGATGGTATCGACCTTCTCACTGGAATCTTAGCAAGAAGGCAAATAGGCAAATCTTTGGCTCAAGGGTTGACATTGATCTGTTGAAATCATTCAAAAGATTTTTATCAGTAATACTGGAAAACCTTCACAGTTGGAAGAGAATGTTTGGCATGACTAACGCTATTTGAAAGAACCATTACTGATGCATAAAGTACTCTGAAGTGAGCTCAGTTTTCCATTTTAATCGAACATGTTTCTGCAAAGGATGGACTGATGACAACTGTAGATTGTCCTCTGTAAGGTGAGATGCTGAGGATAATGGGATAATTTCATTTCCCTTTCAATAACTGCATTTAGTCTGCAACAAAGTTTGTATTTGTGAACTTACGATATATATTCAAATGACTTTGGACAGTGTTACAGCATGAAGGAATACAATTATAAAAGTATGTCGCTGGCTCTTTGCACCATTTCTATTTTCTTTTCAGAAACCACTCTGAAAATATGTGATTTGTCAGCATTCACACATATTATTGGAAACACTCAGGCATGAAATATGGCGCCCTTCCAAACCCACACAATGTATTTTGAAAACACACCACTGTATTTCTGGTATTCAAAGAAATAAAAAAGACAAAAACATACCTTGCAAGTGAATTCTATATTCCTCCAGAAAACGATTACCTCCTAAATAATCTCAAATATGTGTTTCAGCCTTTCCACACATGTGCAACTCAAGTTTCAGGCGAGAAAATGGAAACCAGACAACAACTCTAAGTGACCGTATCAAAGCACAGCGTGTTTACCATGATGTAAAGAAACTCCCTCTCTTACTCGGATCAAATAGCTATACTCGGGCCTACAACCGGTAACTGACATTGAACAATACGCAAGATGCTGAAGACTTTTGTAAAACTCAAACATGGACACTCATTTCCATGGGAGAAAGAAAAATCCCCCAACATTTTTTATTTATATAAAATCCCTGCTGCACATGACTCATTGCACAGTGTGACTAAACATATATTGCAGCGTTTACTGGCTTGACAGCGGTCAAAGACAGAACACACCCAACTACATGGTTTTTACGCCATTATTCCAAATTCACACTTGCTATGCATTTTCTAAGTAATTCAGTCAATTTTTCCAAATGTACAAAATGTTCCCAAAATGAACAAACACCCTTTTCATCGTATTAAAATGTGCCTAATGGCTGCCTTATCACTGTACAGCAACCTAATTAAGCCTTATCTAATGTGTACAAAAATATCTTGGGTGACAAGTGTAATTTTTGTACTATTACAAAGTAATTTGACTACTTTAAAAACTCATAATCAAGGAGGAGGCTTTTAAATGATAAAATTTGACAGAATATCTAAGATTTTCACTCTGTGTTCTGAACATTATCTGTATTGTCCCTCAGTTAAATGCAATAAACTTAAAACAACAAAGCTTCATTCACACAATAAAAGCCACGTATGTCTAGAGGATCGCAGCCATGGGTGTTCACCGTTAACCCAAGGTACAACATCCAACTTAACAGAGATGTAACTCACCTTTTCAAATGTATTAATCCTTGTTTAACCAGTTAGTTTCAAGATAGCTTCATGGAGATCGGTTCCACCTCAAATTGTTATTCTCTAATACACCAAAAAACACTTGTATACAGTCAGATTTGGGTGTGCTGATGTAGATTGCATCTGGCTCTGTGACTTGACTTCTTCCTGCTTAATGCGGAAGTTCAGGCCCGGACCTGTCACTGCATTCCAACACTTTCACAATAGTCTTGTCTGAGCAGCACTCGGCCGTCTCTTAACAGCCTCCTTATCTGAACTGCACTGCAACTGTTTCAAAGCATGACAAACATGGACAGACCAGAAGAAAACTGCAGGCGAGCTTGCTGTGACTTCTAATCACGGTGCTGATTGACAACTACTTGAGCAAAAGATGAAGTTTTTTCGAAAGAGATATAAAAAAGGTCTTGTGGGTTCAAGGGAACGGCTGAATCAGCACAAGGAATGCGACGGTCTCGGTTAATAATTCACCTCACTGAAATTGATTTACAGCAGGTCTTTAGGCAGGAGTGGTAATGTGGCAGATCATAACAATGAAGGATACTAGACTCCAGCTGAGCTCCATTGATCTAAATTCTCCTGAAAAATACAGTATTGCCTCTCGACAGAGCCGTATATTCAGAATTATTTGCTGTACAACTTTTAAATAAAGTTCAAACAGTGTCAGTCTAGACAATCTAATGAACCCAGACATACAGAAATTGCTTTCACTTACACTTGACACTTAAAATCAGGAAGGAATATCTTAAGACACTGATATGTTGCAACAAGGTTATCTTCAGGGGGAACAAGGACAGTCAAGCTGTCAAGCTATGAATAGCCTCTGGCTCTTATCTGACCATGCAGACACAGATAGCTCTATTTATTTGCATTTCTCCTTGACTCAGCCTGGGAGGCCAAAAAACAAGATTTCACATCTTCTTTTTTAATCTCATCTCACTTTCCCCCATAGCTACCCTCAATTTCGATTCATTCATCTGTTTAAAGGGGAAAATACTAGTTTCCATTTGTATTATTTTGCTATTATTAGCACTTCTGTGCCCTATTTTCCCCCAAAGACCAGCCTCGGCTCCAATGGGAAAGACGGACCACCCTCTCTGTGGCAAAGTCCTGTCATCATACGGAGAAGCTGAGCACCATGGGGGGAAACCAAATAACCTTGAACTCGTCCAAGAGCCTTTCGTGACTGGTGATGTATTAAACAAACTCTCGGGGTACAGGCATGTGTCCCAACCACCACTCATTTCCTCCCTCTCTCAGGGGTTGACAAACAGATGGACGCCAAAGGCAGCCTCTCATTAGCTGCAGGCTTCTCCTAAACACCAGCACGCTGGTGCCTCAGAGGACATTTCTCAAATAGATACACACTGATTAACTGCTGTGGAGCTCGGCAGCAAAGAGAGGGGCGATTTTTCTGCTTTGTTGTGTCTTTGCAGTCACATTTCAGTCACTGAGGGTGGTCCAACAGAGTGGATACTTATAATGGTTTCTGCCCATGTATGCTTCAGCTCATACATCACGGCATGTAATGAAGAAACTGTAGAGAATTGTTATTTTATTGTGCGTTTATCAATGTTTGTGCAATTTAAATAAAGTAGGAGGTGTCATTTAAGCTTTTACAGGTTGCAAAACAAAGCCATACTTGACAAAGAGCAGTGTTTTGGTTTTAAAGTATTGCAGAACCCCAGATGGTAAGGTGTGAGGTGTAAGTGAGGGCATACTTTTAAGCCATTAGTAGGCATCATGTTAAATCTAAGCGCTCCAGCACACCTCAGAATAACTCTCTTGGGCTTTCCTGCACTAAAAGAAACGGGGTGAAAATGACAAAACCAGTGGGCACCTTGCAAAACGATAAAGCATATATGTAGTACAACAAGTCACTATGATGATGTGACAAGTGATGCATATAGGAGTGTTGTAGTGCCCTCTGTTTGTACTACAGTGGGTGGTGCAGAGCAGTTCATGCTACCAACCTGCACTTCTTTTTTTATGTGTAGTGCACTGATCAACTCTAAATATTTACACCAGGAAAATAGCAAACACTTTATTACATACATACTATTGTATGTATGTAACTAATTTAAGTTTGCAATCAGCCCCCCCCCGCTCTGTTTGGCAAGACTGACTTACAGAATCCAACAAACAAGGAAATTAAGGTTTGTTTTTATTCATCGGAATCTAACTAGGCTGTCTATGGAGGCCCATTTCTGCCAGGTAAAAAAACAAGATGAAAAGATATTAATAAAAATGCCCTGTATATCAAACTTTTTAAGATAATGGGTCAAACTGATGTAGTCAAAATGGTGAGATATTAAGTCTTATGAGATACTTTGCCAAAATTGTAAGATAACAAAACAGATTTTTTAATTAACAATTCAAAATGATGAAAAACTAAGGGGAAATTATTGGATAAGTCACAAATATGAGATGTTAAGTGAACATTATGAGATACTGAGTCAAAATGATGAGAGAATAAAGGTCCAGTGCGTAACATTTAGGAGGATCTATTGGCTGAAATGGAATATAATATTCAAAAGTATGTTTTAATTAGTGTATAATCACCTGAAAATAAGAATTGTTATGTTTTAAGACAAATTTGTAAGTAAAATTAGGTCATTCAATTAAGTGAAACTTAAGAAATTAGAGTTATGAGAACATTTCTGACTCGTAACTTTTAGTGTAATAAGGTGTCATTTTTCATCCTTTTGTTTTATCTAGGCAGAAATGGGCTTCCATACATGCCTGACCTTGAAATAATCAGGAATTTACATCAGAACCTGCCAAACTACCACACCACACATCAGCCTCAGATAACCTCCCACAGTGGTTGTGCTGAAACACTAAAATGAGAGTATAGGACGGGGTCCAAAAACCAGCTGTGGGTTTCACATTCCTGACTTCTGCCATAGGTCCCTTCAACAAAAGTCTGACCTCTGTTGGCTCTGTCTATAAACAGGGGTGCTCGGTGTTGACAAGGCCAGTATAAAGTGAAGGACACTGGGTTGAGGACCAGCAGCTGTCTCAACATTCAGGATGTGCTAAACAAAAAAACACTGCCACTTTTTGCAACTTGGATGGCCATAAGGTCATAGGAAAGTCAACAGTGAGCGAAATGAAAAGCGACAGTCACCAGGAAAAAGGATGACAGGACTGGAGAACATAACTTTGGCAATGTGAGAAGAAAATTTCCCCTTTGTTTTTTCTTTTAACATGGAAATGGGAGCCAACATTTAAATGTTTGATTGAGAAAATGTTCCTTTCTGCCTTCATTCTCTTCAGTGGGGAATTCCTGTATGGAGAACAGGGAAGGTGAAGGGTTAATTTGTGGCCGGGGAAACCTGATGCTAATTAAGTCTTAGGAATGCCACATACTGACATTGTAGTGCAGAAGCCCTCAGAGTGGGTCAGGCATGAAGAGAGCCAGCAGTAATGCGTGTGTCTAATGTTTTTATTCCTTACTGACAGTCGGGGAAAGCCAGTCTCACCAAAGCCTGGAGCTGAAGGTAATGTTCTGTCAAGAGTCTCTGTGTCAAGCATGATAAAGTTTGTTTCTAGTAGTGACAGAGAGGGCTTTAATCTGAAAGGAGCAGATCAGTGATGGACTGTTTGCTGAACAGTTTTGGAGATTTTAAGATTTTTCCAGATTTATCATTTGGCAATCAAAGCGTAACGCAGATGTTTCTTCTTTTGCAGGGGAAGAAAGAGGAATATAGCTGACGCAAAATGGTTTTAGTAACACCAGTGGTGTTGCTGCTGCTGTCTTGGGTATCACTGCAAGCTGTCGCAGAGATTTGCCGGGGGACGCACTGCTACGGCGCGGAAACCGGCGATCCAAGACCGTGCACCGGAGCGCACTGTCCGGGAAGCAGATCCTCCAGACTGCCGCGGCAGTTTAACCCGACAACGCACGGGAGAGCGGCGCAGATAGTTGCCAGCCAACACCATGCGTACCCGAGCTCTCCAAGAGCAGCATCGGAAGCCTACCCGGCTGTCCAGCCACTTCGCGGGCGGCACGGTGACAACAGCGGCGGCGGCACACGGATAAGAGCGCCTGAAGTTTCACCTGCAGGGTGCACCGATGTGGAATGTGCCACTCCTGTGAAACAATTTCAGCCCACCAATGACACCCGAGACTGTAGAGGGATCGAGTGCAGACTGCCACTGAGGATACGGCCAAAACCTCGAGCAAAGTCTTGTGTGGGAGAGGGGTGTCTGGTCGGTTCAGAGGAGAGCGTCTCCTCTGCCGCCGCCAGCCAGCTTCCTCCTGTCCATCTGTCCGATAGAGCCGCACAGTTTCTGGGAGATTTTCCGGAGCTTGGATATCCGTCGCCGGAACTTGGCGGCGCGCCTTTGGGTGTCCAGCTCACATGTGACATCAAACCAGGTCTGCTATCATCATCATCATCATCATCATCATCATCATCATCATCATCATTGTCTTCTAAAAATGAACTGTTGTATTTAGACTATTATAGGCTTTTTGACTTTAACCTGCTTTTCCCCCCAATGATCTGCAAAAAAGGGGAGTTAGGTGTCTAAAAGAAAAAGAAAGACATTGTTGACCTTTCAGCCCAAAATGATATCTGCAGAGCACCTAGAGCAGCTGGACTGGAAAAATGTCTCAGAGTCAATTGTCCAGAAAATGTTGAGTGCTTTGATGTTTGGTCCATGTATAGGAAACTTTCATTGTACTTGCCATGGCTAGACCAATAGAATGGGGTCACTGGGTTTTCACATTTTGTTCCTGCAGAAATCAGACCACTGAATCAGTCTTAATCTTGTTTAATCACTTCCTCCACTGCAGTGTTTAACATTAACAACATGTCTGTCTGATCCCATCTTTCATTCTGCATTATTTCCTCTCAGGGGAGAATGAAGTTCCCTCAGAAGATGCACTCATATTGCACCTGCAGCTGGCCAAGGGGCAAGAGAAGCTGGTGGAGGCCCTGCGCACCCAGCAGATGGTCATCCGCGACCTGCAGCAGAAGCTCGCAGACCAGCAGGAGGCGCTATTGTCCCAACAGAGGGAGATCCTGGACCAGCAGCGGCGAATGTATGAGCAGATGGATGTGGTGAAGGCCCAGTACGGCCTCCTCTCAGACACCGTCAAACAGGTTTCCTTCCAGGGCCTGCAGGGCGAGCTGCAGAGCTACTTTGAGAACCACCTGGCGGGACTGCAGAGCCAGGCCCGCAGCCATCTGCAGAAGTCCTACGCCGTCCATAAAATGGACATGGACTCAAAGGTGATGGATGTAGTTGGAGAGGCTCATTTTCCTCAACCTCTGCTGGGATGTCCTTCACCCTGTGGGCAGGAGGAGTTCTGTGATTTTCAGAGGGACCCGCCTCAGTGTGAGAAGTGCACCATGTGTCCACCGGGCTTCTTTCTGATCTCACAGTGTTCTCCTACTGCAGACAGGATGTGCCAGGTGATGTCCTTCAAAATAGCTAAATTTCATTTTTGGTGAACACCCTGGTAACTGTATTTTAGATACACTACAGGTTTTCATGATGACAAGGCTGATATCTTTTCCTATATTGGTGTTATCTCTAATGTGTGAAAACAAAGTGTGAATGGATTTCTGCTGATAGTTGAAGTGTCATATGGTTGTATCAGTCAGTGGTTTTCGGCCAAACAAAACGACAGCTGATTTGGAGAGTAAATGTTTACCCTCTAGGGCCTTTATGCCCCTGATTAGAATATAAAATCGAGGAGGCGCAAAATATCAGCTCTGCAGCTTCAGTACAAAAGCAAAAATACATTCAAAATCAACTGAACCCTATTATTAACATTCAAAATGTATTCATGATGGCAATATTAATTTTAATGAATTGCAGGACAGAGATGAATGCCTTGAATTACCAAACATTTGTGGAGAGCGAGTGAAGTGCCTTAATACTCCAGGTGAGTTCAACACTCATATTTTTTCAAAATAATTAGTGCGATGTATCCCCTAATTGTGGGGATTGTGAAAAAGTAATGTTACTATTATTAATAAATATATTATTATTTAAATTTTTTACACACATTTAGGTACAATGCTGACTAACAACAATAAAAAATGTAACCTTTTTTTGTACTGAATCACATGTCAATCAGACCCTGTTTTTACACCCTGGTTTCTCTCTCTGCTCTTGAACTGCACAGGGGGGTTCAGGTGTCTGGGAGTTTCTGAGAGAGAGGCAGTGATGGGTGTGTGTGGTCGGGACTACTTCTACAACCAGGAGCTGCAGGAGTGCCAGGCCTGCTCTGATTGTGATGGAGAGCTTGTCGCTGTTTCCTGCACGGCTATCAGTGATGCCGTCTGCGGCCAGGCTTCAGAGAGTCGACTCTCCCAGTCTTGGGTGGCCAATGTGGCAGTTCCCCCTGCCCGGACCTCTGGCGCCCACATCTTCCCCGGGCTTCAATTAAACATCCGAGGCAAAGAGACCACTGATCTGCTGTCCAACGAGGCAGGGCAAGTGACGTTCCTGCAGCATGGCCTGGTGTGGTTGGATCATAACTTTGCGATAAAGCACAGCTGTAGGAACTTCCTTCAGGTGGGAATGAGGCTCAATGGGAGCCAGGAGGAGGAGGGTCAAGACCTCAGTGGTGTTCGCATTGAACAACCAGATGGGAAGTACTTCCAGGGTGTCAGTGTCAGCAGTGGAGTCGAGGTGGAGCCTAACCACACCTTGACTCTGCTGCTGAAGAGTCCGAATCAACACTGCAACCAGAGCAAGGATCTTCACGTCTATGATATCACCACTCCCTCTTTTAGCCTGCTCTGGTTGTCGCATGATACTGGTGCCGTCGCTATGACGGCTCAGATGTCCCTGTTGGCGCACTACCAGACCAGCTACCGCCCAACTTTCCGCATGACCTCAGTGTCTGACCCGTATATGATCATTCTAACCCATGACAACCGCGGCGTGCGCTTCACAGAAAGTGGTGTTGTAAAGTTCGTCCTCCAACAGGCGCTGTACTCCATGGGCCACACCTGCATTCGAGAGGGTTTCTCCCTGATTGCCTACACTAACCACAACGGGACTGGCCAGGAGGCGATGCAAGCCTTCAAAACGGGCGTCAACTACAGGGACACCTCCATCACCCTCTCAGGTGCTGTGAGTGTGGACAGCGGGGACACGCTTAGCTTTGAGATCACATCTCCATCCCAGTGCAACATTCGCTACTTTGGGGACAGCACTGGGATCAGTATGCTGAGCCTTATCTGGATTCCTTCAGCAGTGTCAACAGCCCTGACTGCTACTGTGTCCAGGACTGGTCTGCCCTTTGGAGCAGTTAGGAATAAGCCGCTGTTATTCCAGCAGATCAGCCCGGACACGGCACAGGTGCATTTGGCTCGCTCAGGGGAGCCAAACAGTCGGAAGAACTTTATATTCCACGAGAAAGGGACGGCGAACATAGCCCTCAACCTGAAGATGATACACTCTTGCAATATTGTAAAACTCACTTTGCAGCAGGTGGGGGGTCAGGGCAGGCAGGCGGGTCCTGTGGCTCAGCAGGTGTCTGGTTATATGCCTGAAGGGAGCCAGTGGGCCAGTATTGGGCTCAGGGCTTCATTTCAGGTCCAGAATGGTACAGCTGTGTATGTTACTCTGGACTGTATCCGTGGACGAGTCAACCAGATAACACATGAGGGCGGCACTAACATTTCAGTCCTCTGGGTTGCAGTGTGATCCAAGAAGGGATGAAGCCTTCAGTAATACACTTTGAGAAAAAAAAAAGACAGTTTTGCACGATATTGAATTGCAGAGCAGATTCAACAATTTACCAAAATAAGGAAGAATAGTGGTTGATGAAAAACAATGTTATTCATCTATTACACATAGTTTGTCATATTATTGTTTTAAATGCATCACGTGTTTAGACTTTTATTGTGAAATTTGGTATGATTTACATACTGTAAGTACTGCTTTAGTTTGAAGTACTTCGGCTGGTTGAGCAGTGACCAATTCTTCATGGAATGTGTTTGTGTGTGTGTCTGTACAGTATGTTTGAGTGTGTGTGCATACATGTGCAGTGGTGCTTATATATTTGTGTATGTGCGCGTGTACACACACATTGGCATGCCAACTTTTGCATATGTGTATGAGTCGTATGTATGTATATCCTCTATTTCCTGCACATATTTAACTTGTGTACTGTATGTAACAAATGTTTTTGTATTATATCGTTAAGCATTTAAAACAGTGGTTTGACATTTTGGGAGATGCGCTTATTCGCTTTCTGGAGAGTTAAATCAAAGGATTGATACCACTCTCAGCAGCCAGTTAGCTTAGCTTAGCACAAAGACTGGAAACAGGGGGAAACAGGTAGCATGCTCGGTCCAAAGGCAACAAAATCTGCATACCAGCACCTCTAAAGCTAACTAATGAACACATTTGATCTAATTTGTACAAAAAGCGTTTGCTTTGTTTGTTGCTGTTGTGTGCCAGACTACAGACCACTTCTTGGCCAAGACCAATAGATTTGTAGAGGCTATGTTGATTTCTTGGCAAATGCTTAGAGCCAAGAAATAACCTCTCCTAAAATAATGAATTGTCATTCTTATGCCATTTTTTGTACGCTGACCAGCTGACCAGCTGACTAGTTGTCTCTTTGTTTCCAGTCTTTGTGCTATCCTAAGCTAACAGGCCGCTCTTGGTAGCTTCATATTCTCCGTACCAATCAATCCTCTCATCTAACCCTACACCACAATGCGAATATAGTAAATGCATTTTCCAAAATGTCAGTTCCTTTAATACTCTGGAGAGTTTGTCATGAAATAGCTATACACAAATGCTACGTAGTAAACTTTCAATAAGCAGGAGTTTGGGTATTTGATTATGTTTTTGATGATATTTATTTGCCTTTTATAAAACAGACTTTTGCATTTACACTATAGAATGCATATATTTGTCAGACATGAGAAACATATAAAAATATGTCTAGTATATGGTAAAGCACTGCGTAGACAGTGTTGATATTCAAAAACATGCAGCGATAGCTGCTATCATATGTTTATTTGCACACGTATAGTTTAACATAGTATTATGCAATGTGCAAACATCATACTTTGTTATTCTTTTACCTAAATGCTGTTTCCCTGTGAAGAGTTACCCATGCATATCATTCCTAATTGCCTTTGTGTGTGTTCTGTCCTCCGAACAATTAGGCACAATTAAGTGTTTCAGGGAGTTGGCAGCGAAGCCGCCACTGAAATTCTTCAGCTTTATTCTCACTTCATTATGTTTAGTGATTTTGTTCTGTGGTTGCTCTCCTTGCACACGTCAATGCATGCATACTTGTTCAACTCCAAATAAAATGTACATACATTTTGCCAGAAACTAAATTTCACTCTCGCTTGTAAAAGCTTAGTTGGTTTTATTCCAAAAATCGACAACTTTAAGGTGGAAAACAGGACCTAATGGTTTCATTGTTAATCCACAACGATCAGAGATGAAGAGATATTTCACAATTTTGTTTGTAAATTACAGTATATGAATTCAGTTTAGTATAATGTACACGTCATGTTACCTCTCATGGGTCCTTAATTCCAATATCTTGACATTGATTTGATAGTAGACTTACCTATCATGACAATCAACATTTCATAGTGAGCGGTTATTATTTTCCATTAAGTTAAAGGGTAAAAGTTTAACATTCAGACATTACTCATTCCATATGATTTCATACACACTGAACCTATTTTAAAGCAACCTAACTCAGCAGCTAAGGTGCCAAAATTGCAGACATAATACCTGGAAAATCATACGCTGTATTTCCCTCTCAATTGGTCTTAATCAACTTTAAATGATTCTTCCATCTATTACCTGTAGGAGAGCTGTTTTTTGGTTTAAACATAACAAATAGCCTGTGAGTCAATGAGAGGGAGAGGAAAAAAAACGGTCTGGTTGTGAGAAACAATCAAATGTTTCTGTCGGTTGCCTGAATTGAAAACAGGTGTTTCAGTGGAGCGGCGCTCCAGATGTCTGACGCTGTAGATCAAATGAGACCCACAGCACTTGAAAAGTTTCAGAGACATCAGAGAGAAAAACGGGGACAGGGAAACAAAGCGAAAGAAAAAAAAGAGGAAAGGGGTGTGTGTGTGTGTGTGTGTGTGTGTGTGTGTGTGTATTGAAAACTTTAAAGCTCCTGTAAATATTTTCTATCTAATCAATAGATATGTAATGTCAAAGGGCTCGATTGCAGTGACAAAGCCATCGAGAGTTATCACCTAACTTGTAGTTCCCCTTAGCTCTACAATGTGTCTTTCAGTTAGCCTGTTAGCCTTTAGTTAGCCTTTAATTTGTTAATGTTTTGGTTGTACGGCCAACAAATTCCACTCTCATCAGCCTGTTTCCAGGAGCTGATTCCAGCAGAAAAGCCCTGATAAGCTACCCGCCTAGCACCAAATGGCAGACAGATAAGGTTAGAAATTAGCAGGTGAAGCTGGAAACGTCTAACAGCTTTTGCAAAGAGCCTGAAGCTAAAAGGAAAGAATGGACTTACAGCCAAGAGCTGGTCAGAAACATCAGTCCAGACTCTGCGAGATGGCGCACTGATTGTTATGAGACCTACTGCACAGAGGTGAGATCCATCATGGTGACGCTCAGACACTCAGTTGAGCCCATGGGCTACACACTTGTCAACCAGCTCTCTTGTAACAACCAGCAGTTCATTAACAGAAGACCTAGCAGGCCTGGATGCATAAATTGATCTACTGCACAAATTAGAAACTATATGCAAAATGCCAAACACACGACAGAAGACATCATCCACAAACAGTCTGCGTACTACAGAAATCTAGGTCATTCATCAGTAATAAAATTAACTACAAATAAATGCCGATGTTGTATGTTCAAAATGCTGGATGTGTATCAAACATTAGCTTATATAACTACATAAGGCAGTTACGTCTTTCTGAAGTTTTTGTGAGGTTTACTGGCCTTACAGATCATAATGACGTAAACCAACAATAACAGTTTATTTGGTCGGTTGGAGGCTGTGGAAACAAGCTGAAACAAAACTGATATATGATCTGGCTCTGTAACTGCTAAATGCTCCACTATGGTCACCAGCTATTTGCTAACCACGTCTGTCTGCTGTTTGGTGGTGGGCAGGTAGCTTACAGCCAGTTCTTAGAGCTTTATCTCTGAAAATTAGGCTATGAGAGCAGTGAGAGTGACCCATAATTGTGAAACTGAGAGCCAGAAAACCAAAACAAAAAGCTGAAAGTTGCTAAAAAGCTCTGTAGAGCTGAAGGGGAGCTGCAGTCGGGTGATCATCCTCAGTGGGTTTATCACTACGAGCGTCTCCTTCCACGTAGAAGTAGTCATGTGATCCATTGTTTATATAAAACTGTTGATTACAGCCACAACATATACATTCATCTTTCATTCATACACATAAAAGTTATTAAATGTTGACACAGCTCAGATTCCTTAATCTACATAAATTAATCAAGCAAAGAATTTTAGAAGTCAATTCACAAATGTTGATGATGTAAAAACAAAAAAGGTGCCATGCAGTTTGACGGGCTGCAGCCTTGCATGCCAGTGTATCTGTGGCAAAACAGAGAGACATCATTCATCTCCGCAGTGCATCTGTTGTGAGTTTATTTGCTTTCTGAGGGGTTTTGTGTTTGGATTTCACTCAAAGGCATGCGAGGAAGTTACTTCAACACAACAGAAATCTCTGATGATTCCAAAAGCACAACTGTTTCAACAACTAAACAATCCAACATGTCTAATATTACTCCGTACAAAGTATTTAACCTAATTCACTTTAAAAATGTTATCTTCATTATTTGTTCATGTATGCAACATGGTGTCATGTTAATAGACACATCAGTCGCAGTGATTTGCGGTCGAGGTGAACACCCTCCTAACCCAAAACTGGCCCCAGTCTGCTCTGATGTTGACTTAAAAAGGACAAAGCTGGAGACAGGCTTGCTTTAATCAGAAGCGGATGTTACTGTAAGAGCCAAGGCCTCTTGTCTACAGGGAAATGTTTAGACCATGTGGTCAGGTTTGATGCTGCAGTCCTCCACACGCTGCGTTACAGAGGTACTCGACAGTGGATTTATGAGGTGTGAAGAAAGTTTGTAATGATGTTTTTGATATTTTTATCCAGCTTGTTGGTTACTTCAGAGAATTAATCACACTATATTGTCTAAATATGGAAATTAAATACATTGTACATTTGAAATGTCTTTATTCTGGAAGTTTTTGCCTGCTACATTGAGTGACTGCTGAAAACCACTTCGAAGTTATCTTAAAGTTTCGTACCTATTTTTGGGTTTGTCGTAAAAATACCTCTGAATATTATATTCTATTTCTGCCAATAGATTGTTCCACGTTACACACTCGGCCTTTAAAACAAAGTTTTCATCTTTCTTCCTTTTAAGAGGAAACAGAATGGTGTCATTTGTGCCTGAATTGAAGCGATTTTGTGTTCAAGTATCAAGCTACATCATTCAGCTGGTGAGATTCCAGATGACGTTTGCTCTAAAAGCTTTAAACATTTCTCTTTGGAGTTGAAAGAGAGGTGTTAGTGCACACTGTGGCTCTCCTTAATTCCAAAATGCTCAGAATTCTATTAGTTGCTAATTTTCAACTAATAGGAGGTTAAAGATCATTGATATACCATATGAATACTGTTAGTCTGTTCTGGGCTACTGCAGAAACATGTATCCATGGAAGAGAACCGGTTCCCTCTGTAGATAAAAACGACTTATTCTAAGGTAATAAAAATGCAGGGTGATTATATACTAATGAAAACATACCTATGAATATTATATTACTTTCCTGTTCAAAAGAGCCTCCTAAATGTTACACACTGCACTTTTAAGTGCAAAACTGCAGCATCTATATCTCTGGGTTCTTTTCAGTCCTCATTTCATCATAAATTCTCCCATCATCCTCCCTTTCTTGCGCATCCACTCATCTGTCGCAATCTCCTCCCCTCCTTGGTCCATCTGTGCCGGTGTTTTTCTCCTCATTAGAGAGGTTACTGATGCATGAGGGAATGGGCTGGCAGGTCAGTAGCCACAAACACAAAGCGGGATTCATATTGAACAGCCTGTGCAAAGTTTCTCGGTCTGACAAACAGAAAAAAGTTGAGCAGAAAGCTCAGATTTTCTACGTCACTGAACATCTATCAAGAGATGGTACATAAAGAAAACTATTTCTTTTTTTAATGGTACTACTTTCTATTGGATATTTTTGCCAGCTGAAACCTACACTGGCATTGAAAATAATCATGCTCGACATGTTGTATCTCCCTTCTCCAGACTTGGCCAGGGCTCTGCATAGTTCCCTCCAGTGTCTAGTAAATTCCCTGATCACCAGGAATGCAGCATTTAATTTTCTTGTTCCCTAGCTGACCTTAATCATTTCTGCGTCAAGGGCAATCCGAAACTCCAGAGCCATGGGGATCAGTCAGTCTGGGTGTGGAAATAAATACCTGTGTGTGTGTGTGTGTGTGTGTGCGTATATGTGTGTGTTTGTGTGTGTGTGTATAATATACACGTATATGTAAAAGGAAGTGGTGAGGCCTGTCTTGCTGTCTTCATGAAGAGGCCTTTTAAAGCGCTGATGATGAATAATAGGTTGGCTGAATGTGAGCGAGTGAGTCCCTCTGGTGTATATTTAAATGGCGGAGAGATGCTCTCTCACTCATATCAACTCCCCGGTGGTCCGTGAGGTTAATTGCTTTCTCCGGCAGGCGCTTACAGATTAACTATCTCACTGAATGCATCCATACAAATGACTCTGCATATACCACAATAAGTTGAGGGGAGTGATGTGTGTGTGTGTGTGTGTGTGTGTGTGTGTGTGTGTGTGTGTGTGTGTGCAGCTTTGCAACAGAACATAGTGTATGCTTAGGTAGCAGGCAGGGTGCACAGCGAGGTCATGGAAGCTAATGAGTACAACTGACTTTGACTAACGAAGTGGGCTCAACAGAGTATCTTTGGCTTAAGTAGTCTTCAACGACAGTGTAATAGTCCAGCATTTATATTACTGAAGTGGATGCAACCCAGCAAGCATGGATTTGGTGATTTGAAGGTGAAAAGATCTTTTCTCCAACATAGTTAAAGTTTTTAAGCCCAGGACAGTTCCAGTTTATTACACCTTTGGTCTTGATTTTGTACTTTTAGCCATCATGTCCTTTGTTTTTTTGTTGTTGAATTACATCCATATTGGATACTTAGGGATGAGAGAGTTCCACATTATCTCTATCTGTATCTGTTCAACCAATTAAATTATCTATATTTGTATCTGAACTCGGAATGGGTGGGGCTTAAACTAGACATGGATGGACCAAAACTGTTAATTTAAGCCTGAAAAT